AGTGATGCAAATGTGGTATGTGTGAAGATAAGAAAGGCCCTGTAGGCATGGATAATTTAAATGTGAGCTCATGGTTTCTAAATAGATATGTATATGCATGTGTTTAACATGTCAACATATCCATGCATGTATATACTCTAACTCTGTCTACTGAAAGCACCTAGAAGCAAAGAGGGACCCTAATAACAATTAGACACTAGCATCTAGATCCTGATTCCGACCACACTAACAGGAACCAAGCTTTTCAGAATAATGGTTGATATCAGGGCATGACAGAGAAATACGTTTAAAATTATACCTGGAGTATCTTGTTATGCTAGAAAGTAAGGAATTACATTTAAAAGTGATAAAGTGTGTAACAGAATAACACAGGAATCACTTAGGGGGTTCCCACTGTACAAATCTGGGATAATTAAGGAGAGTAATGAATTAGAAGCTGGACATTGAATAAGGAAGAATATTGAAAGTATCGTGAACTGCCTGAAGATCTGTCTTGGAAGCAGCCAAAATGCTCCTTAGAAGCCAGGATGCCGAGACATCATCTGTCATATTTCAGACATGTTATCAGGAAGGACCAATCCCTGGAGAAGGACATCATGCTTGGTAAAGTGGAAGGACACCGAAACAGAGAAAGACCCCCAACAAAATGGATTGGCACAGTGACAGCAGCAGTGGGTTCAAGTGTAACAATTGTGAGGATGGCGCAAGACCTGGCGGGGTTTTGTTCTGTTGTGCCTAATGTCATTATGAGTCAACTGACTCACCCACACCTAACAACAATGAATATAAACCATGAGCTGGGGAATAGAAATTCATGCGTTCATACACATAGTAATGGGTGAATAGAAGAAGGGGATTCTTTCCTACAGAATGCTGAACTAATACATTTGGAGAAAATGCTAGGGTTCAAAGAGTACTGTAGATAAAGATTGGTTTGGGTGAAAACCATCATTAAATATTACATCGAGTGAGATTTTGAAGAGAAGCAGAACATCTGAATGATCACTGTATATACTTAAGACTTAATTTATTATAATACTATTCCTAAGCATATTAAAGACTCTGAGACTCCTTGAAATGAGAATTGCCCAAACTTATTTGACCATGGCAGTTTAAAAAAATTTGTTAGGAAACCAAGATTTTTATAATAATGAATCTCTTGAAATTTCAGGGTTACACTCAGGCAAGTAGGGTCAGAATGCGATCTTCTAGATTGCCATTTGTTGTTGTTGTTGTTAAGTGCCATTGAGTCAGTTCCAACCCATAGTAACCTTGTATAGGGTTTCCAGCTCCCCCCTCACATTTTTATAATGTCTTGCCATTACCCTAATTAGAAAAAATCTCAATCCCTAACACCTTTGTAATACAGCCACAGCTGCCTCCTCTGAGCACCAGTCACACTGGCCTTTTTATTCCTCTAAAGTGCTAAATTTATTCCAGATAGAAAGTCTTGGTCTTGTGCTTTCTTGGCCTAGAGTTACCCAGCACAGATTATTCAAATGGTCCCCTCTTGTGGTCCTCAGGGTCCCGGAGACCTTTTCACACCACTGAATCTCAGTTGATTACCCTGCCTAAGTTATTACTCTCCAACTGTGGAGCCCTGTTAAGACTTTTTTCAAAATACTTTGCCCTCTGAAATCCTTGCCCTTGTTAAATTATATAATTATTGCCCTCCCCCACGGTAAGGAGCTCTAGTAGCATGGTGGTTCCAAGTGAGGCTGCTAACCACAAGGTCAGCAGTTTGGAACTATCATTCTTTACACAGGAGAAAGATGAAGCTTTCTGCTCCCATAAAGATTTACAACCTCAGAAACCCTAAATAGGGTTGGAACCAACTCCATGGCACGTAACCACCACCACCACCCCATAATAGACTTAGGAGAAGTAGGTGGTAGCAAATTTTGTTTCTTTTAAGATACATTAGATTTATAAAAACACCTGAAAGTTGCTCATAACCAAATATAGTGAATAAGATTGATGATCAAACTAGGGAAAACTGTTGGGGAAGCAGAAACAGTAGTTCTAAAGCAACCACAAGCTATAGGTTTTACTTTTTTAAAGTGAGTCTAAACAAGAGTCCTAAAAAAAAAAAAAAAAGATTTGGGATTGTGACAATGCTATTCCAGTGTAGTAGAGCTTCCCAAGGGGACTGCTTAATAACAGTATTCATTTGGGGACTGTAAAAAAAGTTTGTTGGGGAAATGGAATTTGTCTAAAAGCTTTTTTAAGCCCCCTAGTATTTCCAGTATGTGGGTTGAGTAACCATTTTTGATGCTTTCACGGTCATAACTGATGCAATGAAAAGCAGTTTACCTTCTCCACACAGACAGTAAACTAAGCATACCTGAAAATGGCACAATGGGCTCAAATATTAAAAACAATTGTGAGGGAAATGACCGAAGAACACAATGAAGCGGCGAACTAAGCCCTGCATCGTTCTGCAGAGCACTGCGAACCCGGGTGGAGACTCGGTCGGTCAGCAGCGAGGCAGAACCAAAGGACCCATGGGCTTAGAGTCAGTGACACAGCCACAGAGTACTAGAGTGGAGAGCAAAGAGACCAGCTGATAAGAAGAGGGCAGACAGACGCAAGAACACCCACGCTTGCAGATGATACCCACATAACCTGGCTTCAATGACGGGATGAACAGAACTCAACCCGAGGAAGAAAGAAGAGGAAAAAGGACAAAAAAAAAGTGTCATCTGATACAACTTGTTGAACTGGACCTACACCTATAACTGCAGTAGCTCAAAGGAGGAAAAAAATTCCTGACTTCAAGAATTATCCCAACCCCCTTCATACAAAGTGTGGAAAGGGATGGGCAACGGGAACATTGGCTACCCAAAATAGGGGGAGGGATGCAAAGGTAAGAAGTAACTGGCTTACAAGCTTTCAAGAGGGAACCTAGATCCACAGGTCAGGGAGGATAGTGGAGTCTCCAGTGAATAGTACCAAACCTGTCTAGGAAGGGCTGATGACAAGAAATACAGACAGGTCTCATGTGATGCAGTGGTGAAAATTGTTACCAGGACTGATTGTGAGGACTGGAAATGTAAAGGTGGATATTTTATAGCAAGGAGGGGAGTGACTAACCTTTCAGTCTAGGAGCGGTGGGCCCTGGGACCATCAGCAGAGAAGAATGGAGAGCGGGACCCCACCCAGAGAAGCAGTGAGAGGCCTGAGATGAAGACAGAGAGGACAATGTGAAGAGATGGTGTGCCTGGAGAGTTGAGACCCAGAGAGGGAAAGGGGATGGGTGCTGAGACGGGGGGGTGGGGTGTGGAGGGTGGGGGAAGTGGGGAAGGGGAGGGGGGTAGACATGCAAGGTGTACCCTTTCGCTGGGGGATGATGCATGGACAGGATGGTAACTAAGGCAATGAAACGATGTATGATAGAATGAATGTAAAACTAATATTTCCCCATGTAAACTATCACTCAATACACAATAAAACGTTAAAATAAAAATGTGAGGATAGTGCAGGACTGGGCAATGTTTCGTTCTGTTGTATGTAGGGTCACTATGAGTCAGGCCTGCCAACAATATCTACCTGAAAATAACACAGTCTCAGTGTATTCTTTAAAAACCAAGGTGTGCATGGATATTTTTGTCAAGCTTTGCTATTGGGGCTAGAGTACCTTAAAGAAGTTAAAGTATCCAGAAAGGAGATGAATAGGGTAGATGACAAATCGCAGACCCTTCAGTAGATCCATCTTTGCAGTAATAACTCACTACATGTTTAGTGATGGTTCAAGTTTTGATTGTTTTCATTTCAGCAACCCTTCATTCAGTTTTTTTTTCTTATTTCTTATTCACTTTTATCTTCTCACTAAACTTAAACTTTTTTAACTTATTTCTGTATGAGTTAGGATAACAGGAGTAGTTTTTTGTTTCTTGTTTAAATGATGGGCTATCCATTGTAAAGACACAGGAAACTAGCATTCACCAAAGATGATGTGGTATCTTTGTACTTTGCTTCAAAATGGAAATAGTGATGGTAGCTGACTGGTAAAATAGGAGATGGTTATCATCTATTAAAGAAAAAATAAAATAGCATTATAAATGTGGAAATATTACCTCCTATAAATTTTTAAAGTTAACATCTAAAAATTATCTTTCAAATTTGAAATTCTCAGTGAATCCCTCCAAAAATCTTTAGTATAGAAATGTACAGTTTTAGAGATGAAAGACAAATTAAGAAGTCATATGATTAAACTCCCATTTCTACGGAGTTTTTATAGAAACGATACACCTGATTTAGGTACAGCTTGAATTCCATGATGATCTTCTGATTACCATTTAGTGTTCTTTCTATTATTATTCGTTGCTATGTGGTTGATAGGTGCTGATATAGTTGTTGGTAGGTTAGGTATTGTCAAGTGGTTCTGACCAATTGTGAGCCCTATGTACAACAGAAGAAAACACCCATTCCTGCATCATCCTCACAGCTGCTGCTGCGCTTGAGCCCGTTGATGCTGCCATTGTGCTAATCCATCTTGTTGGGGGATCTTCCTATTGGTCGCTGTCCCTCCACTTTTCTGAGCATGATATCCTTCTCCAGGGACTAGTGCTTCCTGATAATATGTCCAAAGTATGAGAAACAAAGTCTGACCATCTGACTGCTTTAGGAGCATTCTGGTTGTACTTCTTCCAACACAAATTTGTTCTTCTAGCAGTCCATAATACATTTAATATCCTTCTCTAATACTGTAACTCAAATGCATCAATTCTTCTATGGTCTTCCTTGTTCATTGTCCATCTTTCACATGCATATGAGGCTATTGAAAGCCGATATGGTAGCTAATAGATTTGTGTCTTATAGAAGAAGTATAGGGCTTCATTTTGAGACAGATGTTTAGCTTTTCAATATAAAATGAAATAATTCATCAAGGTTAGATTTTTCATTTGCTCAAATCTTATTTACAAAAGTTGAGCTACATCTTAAAGGGGGGTTATATATGAGTGCTTTATAATGTGTTGTTGGTTTCTTCTACTTCGAAGACTGAACATTCTTCACGCTCTGAAAGGAAAAGAAGAGACTCGTTCGGGATGTTTGACGGTTATGATAGCTGCAGTGAGGATACAAGTAGCAGCTCCAGCTCTGAAGAGAGTGAAGAAGAAGTTGCTCCTTTGCCTTCTAATCTCCCAATTATCAAAAACAATGGACAAGTCTACACATATCCAGATGGTAAATCTGGTATGGGTGAGTACTTAAAGTCTTCACCTTTTGTATAATCTCATGTATAAGGCTTGGGTTTTATTTATGTTTTCATTTAGTTTCTTTTTGTCATTTCCCTTCTTTATACATAATTCTTGTAAGACATTTTGCAGAGATAGAGGTGAAATTTAGACTTGGTTAAGATAATATCACTGGGTTTGAGTTTGATATCTTTATCTCATTGTACTACCTTCTGAACAGAGAGATCTCATCTGCCTTTGTCTGTTTTCAGCAGGCATTCAAAATAGTCTGGAGCAACTTGAAATTTCCCTGGTGGCACAGTGGTTAAGCATTTGACTGCTAACAAAAAGCTTGTCAACTCAAACCTACCAATCAAAGATGAGGCTTTCTGCTCCCATGAAGATGCCTTCCTTGGACACCCTGTGGGGCAGTTCTGTTCTGTCCTACAGGGTCCTAGTCAGAATCAACTCCACCAGAGCAATGGGTTAGAACAGCTAGCTGCTTTTGAAACTCAGCGTACCTTTCCCAAACTCCGTGTTTCATTTAGCTTGGTCTTTTGATCACCTATACTGGACACCTGCCAACCTTGTTAATATGGATTGTGGGGTTCCACAGTGAAACCAAAATTTGTAGCACAAGTCTGGAAATCTGTATTTTAACCTTCCTAGGTGATTATTGAAGTCTTGGTGTAGTGCTGTAGGATAAGCACTGAACTGCTAACCACAAGGTCTGCAGTTCTAACCCACCAGCTGCATCTTGGAAACCCTATACAAGGTCACTATGAGTCGGAACCCACTCAAGGGCACTCAACGACAACCACCTTCTGATGGAAGACCAGTAGAAACAAATTAAACCAGTAGGTCAGTGAGACACTTGTCTTAGACCTAACTTCACTAACTAGATAACTCAAGCCAGTATAACAGAGAGTCTTTAAAATTACAGACTTGGAGTTAAAAGAGATTTTTAAGATAGGGCTTCCTCTATAATAATTTTCTTACATAAAGTTTTCTCTTTTAACACTTTCAGTGATATAGCACTCTCAGAACCAGAAGGCAGTTCCTTTTTTTGGTCTAATGATTAGAATAGTCTTTATATTGAAACAAAATTACCCTTGCTCTAAGTTTTGTCCTTTGGTCTTAATTTTGCTTTTTAAAGTTACACAAAGTAAGTTCCTTGTTATGGAATTTACTCCCCACTAGAACACACCAGTTAACCCAAATTGCCCCAACTATTTTTTGTAGTATCTCAGTGATTAAATTAATATCAGGATGGACTTCTCTAACTATTGGTTCTGACTCAGCATCTCTGTGCACAGCAGAATAAAATACTATCTGGTTCTGTGCCATCTTCACATTTACTGTTATGTTTGAGCCCATTGATGTTGGCACTGTGTCAGTCCATCTACCTACAGGTTTTCTTCTTTTTTACTGACCCTCCACTGAAATACGAGAGACATAGTTTCACCATCTTCACTTCTTGGGAACACTCTGGCTGTACTTTTATCAAGATAGATTCTTCTGGCATTCCATGGTACTTTAAATACTCATCTCCAACACCACAATTTAAATGCTTCAGTTCTTCTCCTGTCTTATTTACTGTCCAGCTTTCACATGCATATGAGGCAATTGAAAAGTTCATGGCTTGGTTCAGGGACGCCTTAATCTTTGAAGTGACATCTTTGCTCTCTAACACTATAAAAGGGATCTTATTGTAGCAGGTTTGCCTAATGCGATCTGTCATTTGATTCTGTGAGTGCTGGTGATTGATCCAAGCAAAATGAAGTCTTTGACAACTTCAGTTTTTTCTCCATTTATCATGATATTCATTAGTCCAGTTGTAAGGATTTTTGTTTTCTTTACATTGAGATGCAATCCATACTGAAGACTGTATGCAGTCTTTGATCTTCATCATTCAGTATTTCAAGTCTTCTCTTCCAGCAGGCAACGTTGTATCATTTGTATATCATAGGTTGTTCAAGTAAACAGCCTTATGTTTACTTTCTGTTTACAAAATCAGATGGTTTTTGCCTGAAACTATTTTCTGCTTTCAGCCAAGATCCATCTGATAACTCTTGTTCCACGTTGTCTTCTGAATCCAGCTTGTGTTTCTGGTAGCTACCTGTCTTGCTTGCATATCATACTAATGATATATTTTTCGATGGTTTTTGCATTCTTTTAGGGTTATTTTTCTTTGGAATGGGTGCACATATGGATCTTTTCCAATCAATAGGCCAGGTAGCTGTCTTCCAATTTTTTTGACTAAGTGAGTGCTTCCAGCACTGCAAAATTTTTTGAAACAGTTCAATTCCAGAGCCTTGTTTTTCCCAATGCCTTCAATGCAGTTTGGAGTTCTTCATTTATTACCATCAGTTCTTGATTGTATGCTTACTGCCTCTTGAAATGGTTGTACATTGACCAATTTTTTTTGATATGGTGACTGTATTCCTTCCATCTTTTATGCTTCTTACATCATTCAGTATTTTGCCCACAGACTAATTCAAGGCTTGAATTTTTCCTTTCAGTTATTTTAGCTTATGAAATGCTTAGTAGCTGTTCTTCTATTTTAGTTTTGTAACTCCATGTCTTTGCCCATTTCATTGTAACACACTATATTTTGTTTGCAAATTACTTTGAAATTTTCTGTTTGGCTCTTTTACTTCATTATTTCTTCCAGTTACTTTAGCTTCTCTATGTTCAAAAGCAAATTTCAGAGTCTCCTCTGACATCCAGGTTGTTCTTATCTTTCTTTCCTGTCTTTAATGACCTTTTGCTTTCATCATGGACGATAATCTTGATAGCAACCCACAATTCTTCCAATCTTCCGTCATTAGTATCTAATGCATCAAATCTATTCTTGAGATGGTCTCTAAATTCAGGTGAGATACACTCAAAGTTGTATTTTGGCTTTTGTGGGCTCGTTTTCACTTTCAGCCTGAACTTGCATATGAGCAATTGATGGTGTTTTGGCCCCTGGCCTTGTTTTAACTGATGATATGGAGCTTTCCACCTAGTCATTGGTCTTGTAAAAGTCTATCTTGCAACCTCCAGCATCGTTTTCTACCATCAAGGCCATATTTTCCAACTACTGATCCTTCCTCTTTGTTTCCAACTTTCACATTCTAATCACAGTTATTATTAATGCATCTTGATTTCATGTTTGATCAGTTTCAGACATAAGGTAGTTTTCGTTGTTGTTGTTAAATGCCGTCCAGTCAGTTCCAACTCATAGCTACCCTGTGTAGGCTTTTCAAGGAGCAGAAGGTAATTTTGAACTGCCAACCTTGTGGTTCAAACCAACCAGTGCTTTATCTCACAGTGCCACACCAGGGCTTCAGAGAAGGTGGTGGTGGTTATTATTAAATGGTTTCTTCAGTGTCATCATTTTTTATCTTAGTAGTTGGTGTATAAATTTGAGTAATAATGACGGTTCTTTTTTAACATAGCCCCCAGAACTGCAAACAATACCTTTTTTTTTTTTAAATGCAAATAACCACACAATGCAACACACAGTTACACCCCAAATCTATTTTCCTGAGCTACTTATGCCAATTGTTACATGTGTGTGTTACTTGAAGGGAAAAATACAGTAATTTAGATGGGGCAGAAGGATAGCTCATCCTTATATTCCTGAAACTGTCTTGAATTTGGAATTAAAAGTCCTGCATCGTGGAAACTCCTCAGTCCTAGATAAACAAGATGGTTGGTCTTGCTGTATTTGACAAAATATAGTTTAGTCTTTATCTCCCTTTTCCAGGACACTATTTTTATTCATGCCACCAAACTAATACTGAGTTTACAAGACAACTGAAACCTTTTGATATAAAGCAGTTTTCTGGTTTATACTTTTGCAATTGATTTTATAAAACAAAGGTGTAGGACTTTGAATCTCTCCATTTAACCTTTCACTTACTAAGTCTTAGTCTTCTTAGAAATTTTTTGATTGGTAGTTTTGTCACCTAATGGTGAATGTTATGTCATGTAATCATCAAAATCAGCTTGTTTTGAATCATCTGCAGATTTTGCAGTCATACTAGTCTCTTAATTAAAAAATTGAGCCCACAGGACCGAGCTATGCAGACCATATCTAGATACTTAGCTCTGTTTATCAGGACCCGTTAGGTTGGTATCTGCCACTCTTATTTAAGTTTCTTCTATTCAGGCTTGTATTTTTCAATCCTTATTGATAAAGCTAAGGAGCTCTGGTAGCGTAGTGGTTACGAATCGGGCTGTGAACTGCAAGGTCACCGGTTCGAAACTACCAGCTGTTCCGCGGGAGAAAGATGAGGCTTTCTGCTCCCGTAAAGATTTACAGCCTCGGAAACCCTGTACCGGGTCGCTATGGGTCGGAACCGACTCCACGGCACTTAACAACAACAACAACAACAACATTGATAAAGCTACAGGAGATATTTGATCAAATCTGTTAACGCCTACTAAAATCCAGGGAACTCCTAGCCGTGACAACACATACTTCTTTTCTCCGGCTTTTGTATAAGCTCTTCCATCAGTTGTATAGAAGGTAGGAGAGACTTTCAAATAAAATTTCTATATTAAAGTATTTGCTTACTGAAAGAAATTATTAAACTGTTAGGTAAAAGTTGACCATACAGATTGTAGAATAATAACAGTGTTTTTATTTTGTGAATCAGCTACCTGCGAGATGTGTGGGATGGTTGGTGTGCGAGATGCTTTTTACTCCAAAACAAAACGTTTCTGCAGCGTATCATGTTCAAGAAGTTACTCATCAAATTCCAAGAAGGCAAGCATTTTGGCCAGACTTCAGGTAACGGTACAGAAACCTTCTTATTCTTTATGTATGTTATTTCTCTGGCTTTCACTGTTTACCTGTCATTTGATTGTGATTCACTGCACTCCACCCCTGTCCAGTTGGCCACTTCTCATTTCACACTTGTATTTTTTAGGAAATGTCTGAGCCCCAAAGTTTGTTCATGGTATATAAAATTGAAAAACTATTATAAGTAGGCAAGACATACTATAAATATAAAAAATGACCTTTTCTGTTTATGTAAGTGAAATAAAAATTCTTCCCACTTTCCAAATAAGTATAAAAAAGAGTAGATTGTTTTTTACAGTGAAATATTGAAGCCATTTTTTTTCCCCTCACATTTTCTTTTGAGTTACCATCCAAGTAAAATCTTTACGCTTTGGGGGAGAAATGATTAATTTACACTTTGGCTTTGTTTTCCCATCATCCTTGCTTTGAACTTTTTGAGTGCAACTCATTTGATACCTTGGCTAGGTGTAAATTGATTAATCCAAACAATTTTTTTTTTTTTTCTTTAACTTTCATGGTATGGAAAAATTACAATTTTTCTTTTAATGTATCATTCAATACCTACAGAATGATAGAAGACTATTTGACTAAGTTGTTACTACTGTAGAATATAATCAATTTTTAAAAGTGTAACATTAATTGATTTTTGTTATATATTTTATCTGGGTGATCACATTTTTCTTATTCTCCTTTAACTTATTATTGTGATCATTACATAGCACTGAGAGGGTGATTTAAATCCCTCAAATTAAGGAAATACATCACTTAGATGTATTTCTATATTTCAGACAGACAGTACCTAAAGATCCTGAGCAGTGGTCTGTACCCAAATGGATGGCAGTTTGTCACTGTGAATTTGGTCCATGATCATTTTGTCATTGATCTTTTGCGTTAGCACTAAAGGTATACACCTCAGTCACTTGCTCTTTGAACATTAAATGATCTTCTCTTACCGTATAAACAGCAATGCTTGGCAACCTGCATGAGTGAATAACCACTGGGCTCGTCGACTGTAAGAAAGAATCAAGTGTCCACCACATTTAACATTTATGGGATGTCATTTTTTATTAACATATTAATTTGCATATTGCTATTTTAGTCTGTGCCAGCTCTGCTACCCGTATTAGATGCCTACATTGTAGCAGAACTCAGAAATTTTTTTTCATGTTAAAATTTCTTGTATGTTTTCCTCTGCTTTAATAATTTTCTAAACCCTCAATGTTTACTTAAGCACAATGAGTAGTATGCAATCAAGTTAATCTTTGGTGGGGGGAGGGACTATGAAAAAGAATCCTATTTACTTAACTCTTCTTGTTTTAGGGTAAGCCTCCAACAAAGAAAGCGAAAGTTCTCCAGAAACAGCCTTTAGTTGCTAAATTAGCAGCATATGCTCAGTATCAAGCTACCTTGCAAAATCAAGCAAAGACAAAAGCAGGTAATATAGGTAAAAAATGTCATAATTTAGAAAATGTAATAAAGGTTAAATATTTTATACTGATTTAGTATGTAGCTTTAATTATTGATATTATGATTTTGGTGTTGCTAATGTTAAATTCTGTCAAGTCAGTTCCAACTCAAAGCAATCCTATATAGCGTTACCAAGTTGAGGCTGGGGAATTTGCATCACTAGCCTTGCAGTTGAAACCAACCTTGAGGTCCAGTGCTTATCGTACAGTGCCACCCTAGAATTCCAGACATATAATTTTGTTGTTGTTGTTAAGTGTCATCAAGTTGGTTCTGACTCATAGCAACACTGTATGGGGTTTCTAAGGAGTGGCTGGTAAGTTTGAACCACCAACCTTGGGGTTCAAACCAACATAGAATTTAATCATTATCAGTTACCTAGTCGTACATTATAACTGTAGGCTTTCTGGTGGTGATTTGGTTTCAGTAAATTTTCCTGGAATGAAATGGTTGCATTCACAAGTTACAGTCCTTAATTAGCAGTCTCCTTAATGTAAATAATTTTTTAAAATTTATTCATATGTACTGAATCTTTATGCTGTAGTGGGAAGCATTGTGGAGATTATAGGCAAAGATACAGGACCATTGAGCAAGCTTCAAACAGGCTGTGAACAGAGTAATAAAAGGAAGAGATTGAAGGAAGGACCATTTCTACTAAAATATTTCTAAGAGAAATATTGCCGGCAAGGAAGTGGGAAAGGGGAATGAGGCAATTAAAGCCTTAGGGAAGACAAGAAGTGATGGGCTATCCATCAGGTCGGTAGGTACCTTATAGAGATAGGGATAAAAGCAAAAGCTGACATAGCGGCATTTATTCTTTTGCAAGCTTCTGCTTTCAGCTCTCCTTTACTTCCTATACCTGGAGAGCTGTACTTTTCTAGGAGCATGTATTATATTTAGAAGAGTTAAACTGCAGTTTGTTTGTAAATGTGACATATGCTAACGCTCATGTTTATTTAGAAAAGTTCTTAAGTCTTTAGAAACAGATCATGAGCTTTCTTTAAAAGAAACCAATTAATCCTTTGTCCCTTCACATTTTTAAATACAATCAGTTGCCTTTAAGCAATTCCGACTCTTGGTGAGTCCATGTAAGCCAGTAGAGCTGTGCTCCACAGGGGTTTCTAGTGGCTGAAATTTTAGCAGTAGACCACTAGGCCTTTCCTCCAAGGTGTCTCCAGGTGGACCCAGACTGCCAGTCTTTCAATCCGCAGCCAAAACAGTGATGTTTCAGCACCCAGGGACTCTTAAATCATAGCCTTCTTGTAAGTAAACTATTAGTTTTAATATGTCTAATTCATTTTGTTTCTTTCAGCAGCAGTCTCCATGGAAGGTTTCAGCTGGGGTAACTACATCAATAGCAATAGCTTTATAGCCGCTCCAGTTACCTGTTTTAAACATGTGAGTAGACAATATCTGACTTTACTTTTAAATGCTTAGTTACTGTTTAAATCTGAAGGTACAATGACACCTTAGAAAGTCTTTGTTTTATGTCCTGTAGTGGGAAAAACTTTTCTGTTAATCTAATGAATTAATCATTATTAATAGCTAAAAATTTCTGTAAGCTTATAGGTAAAAACTTCACAGGAAGAAATTGCTGTTTGAAATTATATTAAACAAGGAAAGTACTAGTCATTCATTTTTCATATTGTGTTGAAGATATAAAAAGATTCGTTAACAATTTCATATGGTTCAACCTAATATTAGAAACCACTCGTCATGTATGTCATCTAAATCTTTGTGCTTTCCCCTAAGTTTAAAATCGCAAAACAAAAAAATTAGTAATGTAGTATCATAATGGATTCAAATTTGTCATCTATATTGTGAGAAGCCCTTTGAAAGATGTTCTTTTAGCAAGTAGATTATTACAGAGTATCTAAAGTACTTCCTAATTATCTTGAAATGTATCTGGTGGTAATTTCTAATCCCATTCTTCTTGATTCAGTTATCTGATCAGTTTTCGTCAATTCTAATTATTAAACTTTAAGCTTAATGTGTATTTAAAGGTTCTACTGTCTGTGCATAGAATAAAAAGCTATAAAAGTTAATGGATGAAATTTTTGTTTATGCTTACTGTTCTGTTAATTTACAATTAATTTTACTTTTAAATACCAGCATGTGAACAAAATTGATCTCGGGTTCCTGATGTGGAAATCTAAATATATTTTCATGCATTTGTGGCCAGCAAAGAATCTTGATCAAAGCCAAGCATTTTAATTTCGTTGATAGGAATGTCATTCCTTCATTTTATAGTTTCATATTTTCCTCAGTGGTATGTGGACTATATCCTAAGAGGAATCTTAAATACTCCATGTCATTGTAAAGTATGTGATTGATTTTGCTGTAATCAGGTGATAGTAGTATTGCTTTTGTGTGAGGTATATTAAGTTCATGCAACAGCAGCTTTAAAAAGAAATACAAAGCAAATCTTTTACTCTCCTGTCTGGGGAGAGCGCTTTCTAATGATAAAAAATTCAGAATTAGACTTATTGCTCAATTACAGTAACTCTTTTATCCCAGAATCCTGGGACATTTATTTGTTGCCTTGTTCCGATTATATCTTTTATGTCTTTTTTGTCTTTTATCTTAACATCCTAGAGACTTTTATGTTTTAATATGATAAGCCATGCCTCAAGTTTTTTATAAAAGCAGTCTGGATGTAAATAAGTAACATTTCAAAGCCTCCACATCACAGTGTTTTATTTTATGTCCGTACCGCCATACCTGATGATTTGTTGCTAAGTGTTGTTGAGTCCATTCTGACTCCTGATGATGACCCTATGTAGGGTTTCCGAGGAGCTGCTGCTGGGTTTGAACCACCTACCTTGTGTTTAGGTTAGTTTGGTGCTTATCCTATAGCACCATACCAGGACTATATTAAAGTTCTTTGCAAGAAAACCTCTTTTAAAATAAAAAAAACCAGCCAGTTTTGGTTTTGGGTAAGCCCTGGACTACGAACCACAAGGTTGGTGGTTCAAATCTAGCAGCTGTTCCTCAGAAACCCTATGCAGGATTGCTAGGAGTCGGATCCAACTCAACAGCACTTAACAACAATGGAGTCCTCGTATGGCGATGTAGAATCAGCACTGGACTGCAAGCCACAAGGTCAGTGGTTCAGACACACCAGCTGCTCCTCGGAAACCCTGTACAGAGACGGTATGAGTCGGAACTGACTTGACAGCACTTAACAGCAAATCATATAGATTAAAGCATTAGTATCAGTCATGGCTGAGGTAGTAACATAGCGCTTCCTCTTTTTCACTTAAAACTCAGGCATCTTCTCTCAAGTATAAGAACCCCGTGCACTCCTGCTCTGCTCCTTTTCTTGTCTGTCATCTCCTTATCAAACAGGAATAATTGATAGTGGTAATTCCATGATGTTTTCTTCCCTTAACCAACACTTTTCATTTGAAGCTATTTGGTTTAGGATGTCAAACCTCAGCATTGATTTTTGTCCCTTTAGAGTTGGCTTTTCATGGTTCTCTCTGAGGTATAGGTATCTGACTCTGTAAACATTACTGTCAGGAGTTGCTAGGAATATATAGCCCTGCCTGCTGTTATCAGTCTTCCGAGACTTGACACACCTGCTTTTCCAATGCTTCATCAGGAGCCCCTTTCCTACCTCCTGCTTGTATGCTTGCCTTCTCTCCTACCTGAGACTGAGATTTCAGGCGATTCATTTTCAAACATAATTTACAAAAAAAACCAGTGTGTAAAATGCAAGCAAAGCTGTTGTGATTGTGTTAGGAACTTGTGGGAGGGACAGAGCAATGGCTGCCTTGCATCTTTAAGTTAGCCCAACCTCTTCTCTTGCAATAATCAGTATCCCCGATAAATACTACATCTTCTAGTACTTGGATATTATTCTGATTACTTTCATAGACATAGAATTTCAAGAGTATGGATTTCCTCCTTCCATTGTCTTAACTGAGAATGAAGATTCTGCAGTTACATCATAAAAATATGTTCTCTTCATAATTGCTATACTAACACATAGTGGCTTATACTCATGTACAACAGTATCTGACAATGGTTGGTTTGTTGATCATTTAATCAGTAAAGGAACTAAAACTCAAATTGTCGTTTAATGTATCCACTTTTTAGTAATCTGTATATTATGAGGGCCTTGTATCTGGTACATCTTTCATTTTACGTAGGTGGAAGTGTTCAAACTTTCCTTTTCTCTAGCAAATACTAACTCACATCACAAAACAGAGGAATCTGCATGTTTGGTCTGGCAGAAGTGGAGATTTGGCAAGAAGAGCCTTTGCCCTTGCACCCTGACTCCTCCTTTCGTAACAGCCTAAATTGGAAAACCTCCAGTTTAAGTGATACGATGAAGAGTTCTCAAATCACAATATATGTGTAATCCCTAAGAAGCATCTAGCTGATCCATGTGTGTTCAGGATATTTGACTTTTGAAGTATTCAATGATTTAGTTTGGTTTTAGTTTTTATCTTAAGAATAATCTTTTAAATTCTGCCATCCTTTACTTCCCATCATTTGCCTTATGAGAGCGCGGAAACATTTCTTTCTTAGGCACATGAAAAATGTGCTAGTAGCAGATATGTACAAAACCAGGCTAAAGTTAAAATCATAATTGTCCTCCAGTTGCGTATTTATAGACTTCAAATTTCTTTTTTTGGGGACCTGAACTTTATATGCTGGTGTAAACTATATATTGTGTCATTGTTAAGACTGAAAATATGGTAATCATTCTGCTTTTTGCTCCCTTGAAACTAATCATAGTTTTGTACCAAAAGTTCTATGTACACATGTATGCTAATGAATTAAAGCTGGGTTTAACTAAACTTTTTCATTATGCCTTCACAGATACACTTAGTATATTACGTACATGATACATTCTAATTCTTTTGTGTGTATGCCTGATCTATGTGGCAGCTTCTTTGGTTGTGTGTGTTTCTGTGTTACAGGGATTTTTGTGTGTGTATTGAGAGCAGAAAAAGTAAAGCATTTTATTGTGTATGTGTAGTAATAAATGTTTATGGTAAAACTCAAAATTTCTTTTTCAGGTATGTTTATTATCAGTAAACACTTTTTTTCAAGTTTAACCTTTTGTTTTTTCCCTAACTTTGAGTACATGCACACACCTTCAGCTGTTTTGAAAAGATGAAAACAAATAATAGGACTTTGTGTCCATTTTAAGTAAAGTTTGTCTTCACGATGTTATCCTAGATTGCAGAATTCCTTTTTACTCTAAAGTAACTAGAATCCATGTCTAGCACTTGTTCATGCTCCATCACGGCTCACTGCTGTGACTGGTGCCTGGAAAGAGAGTCTCTGCAGGAAAGCGGTGGGCTCAGACATCATAGGAATCACCTGGGTTTTGTGGCTTAAAGCCTAAGTAAATGTAGAGAGGGGGTTTTCTCTTAAGTTTGCTCTACTGTCTAATTGTTTTTCTAAAACCCTCCCAATTCTTAAACAGCATTGAATTTTTTTTAGCTGTTTTATGTCTCTTAAAATATTAGCCACTGCTAGCTCTCATTTTACATTTGCATTGTGTTCTGTCATCCTTAATCATATTTCCACCCAAGCATTCCCATTTCCTTTTTTACTATCTCTGCTCCCACCACCCCAGAAAAGTAAATTCTGGGATCAAATCAAAAGGTGAGTGGATTTTGTGGAGAAGGAAAAAACAGTTTCCTTTCCCATTTCTACATTCTACTGGTCCCAGTAAATAATTTCAGGAATTATATATAGTTCCTCTCTAGTTACCTTTCTGTAATGTTTCCTTCCCTCTCTTGGCCAAATGATATTTCATCTTTCTCTACTAGAAATACATTCTAGTAGTCTTAATTACTTTAATGGTGGATTTTTGTACATTCTCCATATTTATTATTCAAATAGATTCTTTCTTGGTTACTTTCATGCTATTTCAGGACAGATCTCTTCCTACTCATAACTCTTTGTTAATACTGAGGATCATGTGTATTTATCAGAAGTTACAGGTTGGCAGCTCTTTAGAGGGAAATCTGTATTTCTGTAGTAAAACTTAGTGTGTGCAGTGTGTCAGCCTTCCAAGAGTGAATTACTAGCAATGTCTGGAAATGTTCTTGAAGGGCACAAAATAAGACTTCCCACACAGCTTGATAAAGTCCGTCACTCAGTCAGGTGGAAGTATGTCATACATTTGTGTTGGGGAGCCCTCAGCATTTGGATTTGGCCATGTCCTGCAGGACCTTCCTGATGACAGCTTACCTTGCAGGAAAGGAGAACCGCTCCCAGATAGCCCTCACGAGTGGCCCTGGAGCAGGAAGTGGTGACGCAGATCTTCCTTGTTTGGGAGGAGCCTGAGGTGGACCTCCGTCCTGAGTCTGGAAGGTAAATTTGTTGTTACCTGTAAATTATGGTTCTGCTAGTTCATACTATGCCAATCCAGACTTTCAAAGGTATCCCTCCTGCCAGCAAGAGAAGACAGATGACTTGGATGAAGATGGCTGTTAAGCCCTGGGTCATTTAGTCTTCCACACCTACAAATATTTGTTTTAAACAAAGGGCAGATATGTCTATTCAGTGAACTTATTTCAACACATTGAGCACCTACTATGTGTAACTATGGTGCTTTTTTTTTTGTTGTTACTGTTTTTGTTTCTTTTTTTTTTTTTTCTTATAGCAAACCATATGGATTGGTTTAAGAGGGCCTAGCAGAACCACAACCTTACAGGCAAGAACAAATGTCACTTTCTGCTACTTTCTCCTATACCAATCCAGACTGTAAGGACCAAAATATAATACCCCACTAAAGTGAACATTAACTTTGGTTTTTAAGCAAGCACATTGACACTTCGTTGTCTTTAGTAAAATATGATTAAGTTAATCAACTCAAACAAATGTAAGGCTTTTATAAAAGTCCGTATGACCGGTTGTCATAACTAGAGTAAAAGGAAGTCCTGTCCAAATTTATTGAACAGTGTGCCAACCTCTAACATCTAACTTGTCCTGCAATGCAGTATAATCATAGCTCTTTCTTTTCAACAAAAATAAACTCAATTCACAGATTTGGCAACCAAACAGAGAGGGATGGATTCCCTGCATTAATTTAATATGTACATTTAATTTAACTGCATGTATCTGCTCTAATTGGTTCTTCTTCACAGAAATTACTACATGGTTTTTACATTAATAAATGTTACCTTAACTTATGGTACTTAACATCCTTCCAGCCTCTCCTTTTCTGATCATACCTGCTGGCAATAGGGATGGCCCTACAGTCTAGAATGATATAGGGGGAGATAGCAGAACCTAAAGGGTCCAATCTTTCATTTTAAGAAAGAAGAAAGAAATACTCATGATAGATGTATCATTTTTGCACATCTGGGGGAGACAGTTATATGTACCCTTTAAGAATCACAAATGATTGAGATAAGTCACTGTCTCCGTCACTGAGGTATATTCATTGCTCACTACGTAAAGCAATAGCCATTAATTCTGTTTTTGGTTTCCAGACGGACCCTAGTTTAGTATTACTTGAGGGTAAGGGCTGAGTTATGTTTTTAGACTATTCTTCCTGTTGGATTAGCATCCACCAAGTATGAGGGACCTTGCATGGAAGACATTTGCTCGATGTTCTGATTGGCTTGTTCATATAACTCCTTGATGTCTTTGTTCATCTTTGAGGCTATTTTGTCTTTTCCTGATTTATTCAAAATGTGAGGTCTTTTTAACCTTACCTAGTCCTTTTTTCTTTATGATCAGGGTTCTAAATTATATCTGTTGAGAAACTGATTATCAAGGGCCACAGAGACTATTTAATATTATCAACATTTATATGCCTAAATGCATTTCCATCAGTTAGTTAATTTATCTTTATGTAAATTCCAAGTAATTGTGTTTGCGTTGAGTTTTAAGGATAAAAATATAATGGAAGTTGTAATTTGGAAACATATGTCAGATTTTGGAAAACTCCCTTCTTGAAACTCATTTACTCAATTTTCTGAGTCCCCATTTTAACTACTTGGTACAGAGGCTAATGATGACCAGTTGTAACATTGAACAGTTTCTCTTTGTTGATAGTTAGTTCCGAATGAGAAATTTTGAAATGACCAATTGTTTAACAATTTACTATGGTATATATACACATCTTGAAAAATTCTTCAGATCTCCCTTTTGAATGATTTTATTCATTTTTTTCCCTCATGTCTATTTTAAAAGACTTTATAGTCCATGAATTTAACATAAATTGAGAATACAGACAAGTAAGTTTTGTTGCTCCTGCTTGTGTTACTGGAAACTTCCTTGATGATTGGAATTATTCTCCTTTCTGTTCTCTCATCAGATCTTTTACAATTAAAGGTTAACATAAAGCATGTTCATTCAGCACATAACTAAAAATAATAGATCTTTTAAATCAGCTTTATCTTGTAAAGTCAGCTAATCACATTTGTAACTCAGCTTTACAAATATTGCTGCTCAAGTCTTATACCTGGACAGTATTGGATTTTGAAGTCAGCACGGATGTATTCTGATTTATGTGAATTCTCTTCATCTTGAGCTTGACCTTGATGCTGGCTTTTTCCAGAGAAAACTCTGTGAAAAGGAGAATAAAAATTATATTTTTAAGGGAAAATTAATAGATTTAAAAGGGTAATTTTTGTATGTTATTTCCATTATTGATTCAATGCTTTGTTTTGAATATGTTTTATACTTCATGTTAACAACAAGGTGTTAATTTAATAATCTTTATATACAGGCACCTATGGGAACCTGCTGGGGTGATATCTCAGAAAATGTGAGAGTAGAAGTTCCTAATACAGACTGCAGCCTACCTACCAAAGTCTTCTGGATTGCTGGAATTGTAAAGCTAGCAGGTGAAAAAAATAAACAATAACTTACTGGGAAATGCCAATGATATTGGTAACCTTTTATAAGAAAACTTTTTTTTTAAGCACTGCCAAATAAATAATATGACAATAGGGCAGGGGTTGGCATACTTATTCTGTAAAGAGTCAGAGAGTAAATATTTTCAGCCTTAAGGACCATATGTTATATGAACTGTCACAACTAAATTGTACCGTTGTCTGGTGAAAGCAGCTGTAGCAATACATAAATGAAGGGTGTGCCTGTATTTCCATAATTTGGCCAGATTTGGCCTGGTGGTGGTTATAGTAGTAGGGAAATACTTTAAAAAGTAATAAAAAGTGATAATGTCCATGATACCAAGAATAAACAAGTGTTGATAATTTCCTGTATCTTGAGTTCCTCCTTTCTCTGTATTCCCATCACCTCCCCTGCTCCCCATCCCTGGTTACCTTGTTATTGGTAAAATCAATGTGTTAGGTACCTACTACATTAGATAATGTGGACAAATGATGTGCAGAAGTTGAAGACGACTCCCAGCCATCATGTGATAGTGGGCTCAGTATAGGAGGGCACTGAAGTTACTTTGGAGGAGGAGCAGCCAGTTCAATAGGAAAAGCTGTCTAACTCCTAGTCTTTCAAGTCTCACCTCTAGCCAATCTCCTTAAAATGCCCTGCTGTCTACTACACACTGCTAATAGACTGCATCTACTGTAAAATGAGCTTAATTCCACTTTTCTGCTCAAGCATCTTTAGTGCATTTTTCCTAGCAGGTTCAGGGTACTTAGCATTTAAGGATATTGTTGAATTGCATGTTAGGACACTGGCCAGAGTCTCTGTTACTCCTCAACATGAATGGCCTGTTCTAATAGAGGAGGCTGGACTCCCTCTTCCCCTCATACAGCATAGTCTTTGCCACATCTGTGCCTTTGCTTACTCTTCTAAAAGGATTCCATGCTCTGTGCCTACCTGTATTAATTACCCAGTTCAGTCCCTACTTTTCCCTTTTAACATTTAACGTTCTCTGAACTCTCACATTTTCTACACCATAATTTAAAAACAACATCTTTTGTTACTGTCATAGGCATTCAAGTCAGTTATATTTAAATAGTTCTCAGATGTGCATTTAATATCCAGGAATTATTTCTACCATCCATCTCTGGTTTTCCATTTGTATTTTATTTAATTGTATCATATCTTATTTTATGTTAATTCTATGAATTACTGAATTTTAAAACTGAATGTTTTTAATGCTGTAAATCCTTGTCTTAGATGAACGCATGAAAATACTGACTAAACCTTGCTCGTGGCCTGAAATACAAGCTTATTAGCTCTGTTTTATACCACAAAAGACCTTAAATTAAACTTCTGTCTATTACCAACATAGATTTATTAAATTATATTCAGGAGCTCTGGTAGTGTAGTGGTTACGAATCGGTCTGCAAACCTTAAGGCCAGCAGTTTGAAACTACCAACCGCTCCGCGGGAGAAAGATGAGGCGTTCTACTCCCGTAAAGATTTACAGCCTCGGAAACCCTGTACAGGGTCGCTATGGGTCAGAACTGACTCGAAGGCACTTAACAGCAACAACATATGTTATGTGCTTTTGCTTTTTCCAATAAAAAATGCTTCCTATTTGCCTTTATACGTTTTAAGTAATTGCACTTACTTTTATTTGTGCTTATTAAATTTATTACCAGTGTTTTAAAATCTGGTTATGTTGTTTAAGATCTTTCTAGATGCTGTTGAGTCGATTGGACTCACAGCGACGTTACATACAATAGGATGAAACACCCTGGCCCTTTGCCACCATCACTGTGGTTGCTGTGTTTGAGCCCATTATTTAAAGCCACAGTATCAGTCCTTCTCCAGGGTCTACTCCCTCCTGATCATACCCAACATACATGAGACAAAGTAAGAAGCATTCTGGTGGTATTTCTCCCAAGACAGATTGTTCATTCTTCTGGAAGTTAGTGGTGTATTCAATACTTTTAAATCAGTACCACGATTCAAGGTAGTAATTCTTCTGTCTTCTTTATCATCAACCTTTTACATGCGTATGAAGCAACTGAAAATACCTTAGCTTAGGTCAGGTGCACCTTGGTCCTCAAAGTGTGACCTCTTTGCTCTTTAGCACTATAAAAAGGTCTTTTACAGCACATTTGTCCAGTGCAGTGTGCCTTTGATTTCATAATTGTGGCTTCAATGGGTGTTGATTACGGATCCAGGTAAAATGAAATTCTTGGCATCTTCAGTTGTTTCTTTGTTTGCCATGATATCACTTACTGGTCTGGTTGTAAGGATTTTGGTTTTTTAATGTTGGGGCATAGTCTACACTGAAGGCTGTTTGTTGTCTGTGATCTTCTTCAGGAAGTGCTTCCAACCCTCTTCACTGTCAGTAAGCAAGGTTATGTCATTTGCTTATCATGAGCTGTTAATGAGTTTTTGTCTAATTCTAGTGCTGCAGTCTTCATGTCTGTCTTCTCTATTTTGCTCAGCATACATGTTGAATAAGTATGGTAAAAGGATACATCCCTAACACAACATCATTCTTGATTATAAACCATGCAGCATCCCTTTGTTCTATTCTGTTAGTCTATATACAGGTTCCACATGAGCACAATTAAGTTTTCTGGAATTCCCATTCCTCCCAGTGTTATCTATAATTTGTTATAATCCACACAACTGTGATTGCTTTTGCAAAGTCACTGTACTGCAGGATAATGCACTGGATAACAAGTTCAGTTTGAACCACAGGGTTGGCAGTTCATACTCACCAGTAGCTCCTTGGAGCCTCCTTAACAGTTCCAACTCCTAGCAGCAAATGTCTTTCTGGTGTTGTCTCCTTTTCAGCCGAGAATCATCGTACATCAACAGTGATAGCCTTCATTATCTTTCATTACACATCCTCTTCTGAATGCAACCTGAATTTCTATTCATTCCTTGTTTATGTACTACTTGCAGTTGTTTTTGAATTACCTTCAGCAAAATTTTACTTGCTTGTGTTATTAATGTTATCTTTGGATAATTGACACATTCTGTTGGATCACCTTTCTTTGAATGGGTACACATGCATATCTCTACCAGTATATATTCGCCAGGCAGCTGTCTTCCACATTGCTTGGCATTGAAACGTGAGAACCACCAGCTCTACATCCTTGTGTTGAAACATTTCAATTAGTATTCTGTCAATTCCTGGAGCCTTATTTTTCACCAGTGCTTTAATTTCATTGCAGCTTGGGCTTCTTCCTTCAGTTCAGTCAGCTCTTGATCATGTGCTATCTCCTGAAATGGTTGAACGTAGACCAGTTCTTATAGATACAGTGATTGTTTGTTCCTTCTATCATGTTTTGATGCTTCCTGCATCCTTCAGTGTTTTATCTTAGAATTCTTCAATATTGCAACTCCAGGCATTTTTTCTTCTGTACATTCAGCTTGAGAAAGATACATATAGCATGTTCATAACCTTTTGGTGTTCTAACTTCAGATCTCTGTACATTTTATATACTAATTTCACTTTGTCCTCTCAAGCTACTTTGCAATCTTGTGTTCAACTTTTTATTACTTCTTCATTTCTTCCTCTCACTCACTTTATCTGCTATTTAAGAGTTCAAGTTTCAGAGTCTATTCTGACATCCATTTTGATTTTTTTTCTCTTTTATTTTTCTTTTTGTTTTTGTTTCATATATGATGTCCTCGATGTCTTCCCACAGCTTGTCTAGTCTTTTAGTCATTGCTGTTAAGTGTGTCAAATCTGTTCTTTAGGTGGTCTGTAAACTCAGGTGGGATATACTCAAGGTTGGAAAATATACTTGGTGATAGAATATATACTTATATATACTTGGTGATAGAAATGATGCTGGAGATCGCATGATAGAATTTTACAAGACCAATGACTGTTGCTAATACGTTTTTTAAATACTGTAAAAGACATCACCAGATGGAAAACACAGAATTCAAATTGACTAACTCTATGAAAAGAGACGGTGGAAAAGCTCCATATTATCAGCCAAAACAAGATTCAGACTGTGGAACAATCTGAATCTGCTCATTTGCAGATTCATACTAAAGCTGAAAAAAATTCCAACAAGTTCACAAATATATATCCCACCTGAATTTAGAGATCATCTGAAGAACAAATTTGGTGCCTTAAATACTTAAGACTTAAGACCAGAAGAGTTGTGGGATGACATCAAGAACTTCATATAAGAAGAAAGCAAAAGGTCATTAAGAAGACAGGAAAGAACAAAAAGACCAAAATGGATGCCAGAAGAGACTGAAACTTGCTCTCCTGTGTAGAGATACTAAAGCAAATGGAAGCAGTGAGAAGGTGCACAGAGCCACTGTACCAAAAAGAAATGGTTGATGATCAACCATTTCAAGAGATAGCATATGATCACGAGCCAGTGATCCTGAAGGAAGAAACCCAAGGTGCAGATGCATTGGCAAAGAACAAGGCTCCAGGAATTGATAGAATTCAAACTGAAATCTTTCAACAAACTGATGTCGTACTGAAGGCACTCACTCATCTGTGCCAAGAAATTGGGAAGATAACTACATGGCCAGCTGACTGGAAGAGATCCGTATTTCTGCCCATTCCAAAGAGAGGTGACCGAACGGAATGCGTAAGTCTTTGGACAATATCTTTGGTAATCCCATGCGAGTAAAGTTTTACTAAAGGTAATACAAAAATAGCTGCAACCATCCATTGACAGAGAACTTCCAGAAATTCAAGTCAGATTCAGAAGAGGATGTGGAACAAAGGAGATATCATTGCTGATGTCAGATGGATCTTGGCTAAAAGCAGAGAATATTACAAAGATGTTTATATGTGCTTTATTGACTTCATAAAGGGTTTTGAGTGCATGAATCATGACAAGCTAAGGACAACATTGTGAAGTATGAGTATCCTGGGACACGCGATTGTGCTCATGAGGAACCTGTACATAGACCAAGAGGCAGCTGTTCAAACAGAACAAGGGAACACCAAATGGTTTAAAATTAGGGAAAGATGTGCACCAGGGTTGTATCCTTTCTCCATATTTACTCAGTCTGTATGCTGAGCAAATAATCCAAGAAACTGATTTATATGAAGAAAAATGTGGCATCAGGGTTGGAGGAAGACTCATTAACAACTTGTGATATGTAGATGATATGACCTTGCTTGCTGAAATTGAGGATTTAAAGTACTTACTGATGAAGATCAAAGACCCCGCTGCTTTCAGTATCTGTTGCATCTCAATGTAAAGAAAACAAAAATCCTCACTACTAGACCAATAAGCAACATCCATATAAATGGAGAAATGATTGAAGTTGTCAATGACTTCATTTTGCTCAGATCAACCATCAGCACTCATGGAATCAGCAGTCAAGAAATCAAACAACGTATTGCATTAGGCAAATCTGCAAGTTGAACAGTGAATAAGGAAGACCGTAGAAGAATTGATGCATTTGAGTTATGGTGTTGGAGGAGAATATTGAAAGTGCCATGGACTGCCAAAACAATAAACAGAGCCATATTGAAAGAAGTACATCTAGAATGCCTCTTGGAAGCCAGAATGTCCAGAGTTCGTCTCTCATGCTTCAGACATATTGTCAGGAGGAACCAGTCACTGGAGAGGAATAAATGTTTGGTAAAGTGGAGAGTCAGAGATAAAGGGGAAGTCCCCGAACTAGATAGATTGGCACAGTGGCAGCAGCAATGGGCTCAGGAGTAGTGATGTTGAGGTTGGCTCAGGACCAGGCATTGTTTCGTTCTGTTGTACATAGAATAGGGTCGCTTTGAGTGGGTACTGACTTGATGGCACCTAACAGCAACAATATACTCAAGGTTAACTTAGTAAAGCCTTATCAAATAAAACTCTTGTGTACTTGTTTTTATTTTCAACTTCAGCTTGCATATAAGCAGTTGATGGTCTTTTTCTCAGTATTGTCAGTCAGCTCTGGCCATGTCCTGACTGATGATACTGAGCTTTCTTCAACATCCCTTTCCACACATATAGTCAATTTGATTCCTGTGTATCCTATCTGGTGGCGTCCGCATGTGTATTTGCCATTTATTGTTGAAAAGATGTATTTTCAATAAGTAAATCTTGTGAAATTCTATCGTGCAATCTCCAATGTCATTCCTACCACCAGGAACATATTTCCTAACTAGTAGTTCTCTTTGTTTCTGTTTGTCTTCCAATCACCACTAATTATCAACACATTTTGATTGTAGTTTTATCCATTTCAGACTGTAGAAGTTGTTTTAAAAAGAAATCTACAATTTCTTCATCTTTGGCTTTGTTGGTTGTTAGGCAAATTTGAATAGTCTTATTAACTGAACTACCTTCTGAGTGTATGGATATCATTCTATCACTGACAGCGTTATATTTGTGGATAGATACTGAAATTTTGTTTTGACAACGACTGTAATCAATTTGTCATTCCCAGTACAGTAGACCATATGATACCTGATTTCTAAATTCCTAGCACCAGTCCATTTCAGCTTACTAATGACTTGGATACCCATCTTTATGTGTTCCATTTCATTTTTGATGACTTTCAATTTTCCTTGATTCATACTTGTGTTCATTCCACATCCAATTATTAATGGATGTTTGCAACTGTGTTTTTTTTCACACATCCGCACATGAAGGTCCTGGAAGCTTTACTCCATCCACATCATTAAGGGCTACCTTATTTTGAGGTGGCATCTCTTCCCCAGCTGTAGTTTGAGTGCCTTCCAATCTCAGGGGTTCATCGTCAGGAACCAAATAAGACAGTTTTCCACTGCTCACAGTAATTTTTCAGAAGTGTATCACCAGGGTCTTTTTTCAGTCTTTCTTAGTCTGGATACTTCACTGAAAACTTCACCATAGGTGACCCTGCTGGTATTTGAAATGCCAGTGGCATAGCTTTCAGTACCATAGTAACACACAAGCCACCACAATGTGACAAACACCTAATCAGATATAATACTCTTTGAAGCATATTATGATAAGCCTTCACTAAGTTGCTACAACTTCAGTTTCCAAAGCCACACATTCTAAAACTCTCATTATTGTTTTCACTGAGAATTTGTTTCTATAATACAGGGAATTATAGGTAATAATTCAGTATATTCAAATGAAGGAAGCCATGCATTGGAAACAAACTAATTACATTGTCCAATAAACCATTGGTTATCAAAATTTTGCCTATGGACGTACATCATCAGATCACCTGGGAGCTTGTTAGAAATGCAAGTTCTTAGGCCCCACTCCAGATTAGAAATTGGAAGTGTGGGTCTCAGCAGTCTGTAAGCAAATTCAATTAAGTGATTCTCCTGCAGCTAGATGCACACTAAATTTTGTTAGCTGCTGCTATAGCAATAGCCTGTTTTATGTTTCTCTTTCTGTAGTGATTGATTTTGATGTGTGTAGTTTGTTGATTTCAGGTTACAATGCCCTTTTACGATATGAAGGATTTGAAAATGACTCTGGTCTGGACTTCTGGTGCAATATATGTGGCTCTGACATCCATCCCGTTGGTTGGTGTGCAGCCAGTGGAAAACCTCTTGTCCCTCCTAGAAGTAAGTAGCTTAGTACTCTTGTTGTTATTAAGTATCGTGGAATCAGTTCCGACTCATAGTGACCCTGCACAGGTTTTCCGAGGCTGCAGATTTTTACGGGAGCAGAAAGCCTCATCTTTCTTCCATGGAACAGCTGGTAAATTCGAACTGCCAACCTTGAGGATAGCAGCCCGATTCATAGCCATTACGCTACCAGAGCTCCTTAGTACTCTTACATAGTTTAAATATGAATACTTGAATTCACACATAGCAACATTAAAAGCAATACAGAAATTAAAATAATTTTGTGTTTATTTTGTGTTTCAAATAATTATTTACCGCAAAAATCTTTGTGTTTTTTTTTTCTATTTTTATTCAACTTATTCATTATTCTAATCAAAACTGAATTGCAGGGAAATTGGCTATTATTTTTCCAAATAATTTGTAAAGCCTATCTACTTTTTGATTAAGAGTAACTGGTTATTTCTTTTGTTTTAGCTATTCAACATAAGTATACAAACTGGAAAGCTTTTCTAGTGAAACGACTTACTGGTGCCAAAACACTTCCCCCTGATTTCTCACAGAAGGTAAGGACAGGATCTTAGAAAGGATTCTTTAATAAATACAAAAGGTGTCAAATGAAAGATTGCAAAATAGGAGTAACTTAGGTTTCCTTATGAATTGATTTTGAGTTCTTGAGCTAGTTGATCTATATTAAATATCAAGGGCACTCAGTATTTGTAACAGTACAGCATTGAAATTATTTATATAGATTTCTGTCATGAATTACCAACAGTGTTGTTTGTTTTTGTTTCTAGGTTTCAGAGAGTATGCAGTATCCATTTAAACCTTGCATGAGAGTAGAAGTGGTTGACAAAAGGCATTTGTGTCGAACACGCGTGGCGGTGGTGGAAAGTGTAATTGGAGGAAGGTTGAGATTAGTGTATGAAGAAAGTGAAGATAGAACAGATGACTTCTGGTGCCACATGCACAGTCCATTAATCCATCATATCGGTTGGTCTCGAAGTATAGGCCATCGATTTAAAAGATCGGGTAAGCACCTTACACAAAATCTCTATTGAAAACATAATGATGCTAATTGCACTGAGTGATTATTTTCTTTGAGAATAGCATAGGTCATAAATGGCATACTAGTTGTCTGGGATGCTCCTACCTTAAATTAGTGAATGTTCACACCAGACAATTCATGTCCTAACTAATTCTACATATTTCTTCACTTGCTTTTAATTTTAAAATAATGCACTTTTAGTCACTGTAATAATTATATTCTAACTCTTTTCTTATCCTGTCCATTTGAAAGCTCTAAAGATAGCCATTCCCTTTCCATTCAATTTTGATCCAAATAGCAAGGTTGAATGAAGTTAAACTTGATATTAAACACATTAAAACATGCTTCTAAGGTTGTAATTCCTGGCCTAGGGAATTACCAGCATCCTCATTGGCTGAATTACGTAATAGCATTTGCATATGTACTTTAAAGAGAGGAAGACTATCACCATAAACGTAGAAGGCATGTATTTTTGCCATATATTTTAGGGCATTACATACCTTGTGAGTTTGAAACCTTCAAAGAAAGTGGTTTTTGTCTTCTCACAAATGCTGACAGATTAGTATGTAACTTTTCCTTGTAGATATTACAAAGAAACAGGATGGACATTTTGATACACCACCACATTTATTTGCTAAGGTAAGAAGTTTTTTTATAAGAACCCTCATTTGTAAGCTAGGTTTGAAAGAGCGTTGTGAACGCTTTTTCTAATAACATGTTCACTTAAAAGGATTAAGAACTTGAAATCTGTAGGTGTCACAGCAACTGATGATAATTTTCCTTAGATTCTGCTTATCTGCCTCTATTCTTTCTACTCCCTGATGGAAATTTGAGTTATAATGTTAGGTAGGTAGGAGAAGGCATTTGGCATTTTTACATGGTAATCTTTGTTAACTTGGTAATGTTTACATTATTTAAATGATACCATCTATAACAGTAATTTGCTTTCATGTAATTCTGTAGGTAAAAGAAGTAGACCAGACTGGGGAATGGTTCAAAGAAGGAATGAAATTAGAAGCTATAGATCCATTAAATCTTTCTACAATATGTGTTGCAACCATTAGAAAGGTAAGAAACTATGTTTTTCTTAATTGATAGCATTGTGGTCTGAGAAGATGCTTTGTAGTATTTTGATATTTGTAAACTTATGGAATTTGCTTTGTGGCCTAAAACATGGTCTATTCTGGAGAATGTTCAATGTACACTGGAAAAGAATGTGTATTGTGCCGTTGTTGGGTTGAATGCTCTGTACACATCTATGAGGTCCAGTTGGCTGATTGTGTTGTTTAGTTCTTGTGTCTTTGTCAAGTTTCTTTATGGTTGTTCTATCCATTTTTGAAAGCGGTATATTAAAATCACCCACTATTATTGTAGATTCGTCTATTTTTTCAACTCTTATTAGAGTTTGCTTTATATATTTTGGAGCTCTTTCATTGGGAGCATAGGTATTTATTATGGTTATTTCATCTTGTTCAATTGTCCCTTTAATCATGACATAATGTCCATCTTTATCTATTGTGCTGTTTTTTGCCTTAAAGTTTATTTTATCAGAGATTAGTACTGCCACACCTATTCATTTTTTTATTGCAACTAGCTTGCTATAATTTTTTCTTTCCTTTGACTTTTAATCTGTTTTTGTCTCTGAGCTGTGTCTCTTGCAGACAGCATATTGAAGGATCTTGTTTTCTTATCCATTCTGCCACCCTCCGTCTCTTTAACAGGTGCATTTAATCCATTTACATTCAGTGTAGTTATCGATAGGTATTGATTAATTGCTGCCATTATGTTTGGTGTTTTTCTGGTGTTGCTGCTTTCTTTGTTCTGTGTGTCTGTCTTTGTTGAGTTTATGCTTTTTGTGTTGTTTCTTGTGAGTTTCCTCATAATTTTAATGTTTCCATGTTCTTCTTGGGTTTTCATTCTCTTTGCATGTTGTGAAGTGTTCATTTTCTTTGAGGTTGCCTTATAGTCCATTAACTTTTCTCTACATTTAGTGCAGTCTATTTTATCCTGTAATCTTCCTGACCTTCTCACCCTCTGGATCTCTGTTCCTACATGTTTACCTTGGTTTACAAGAAAATGTGTTTTTGAATGTAGAAATGAAGTTACAAGAACTGGGTTTAAGATAATAGAAGAAGGAGACCCCTAACAGATTCAACTTGACATACAACAGGGCTTCAGAAAGTTTGTGAAAAAAATGAAGACATGATAATGGAATTTTCCACAAACTTTTTGAAGCCACCTCATATGTATGTATCTGGATCTTTGCTGGAGTGAAGTTCAAAGCTAATCCATCACAGAATTATAGCAAGGCCAAATTTATCTTCCACTTTTCTGTAGTTTTTTTTTCCTCTTGTAAGTGCTTTGTTTTTTTTCTCTCTTGTCTGGAGCTGTTCTTCTGAAAAGATGAGAACAATAGTCCTCAATTCTCAAAAAAGAACCACAATCCCCTGGGGAACCTTAAAAAAATACAGGCGCCCAAGACCCTCCTCCCTTCAACTCTGGTTTAATCAGTCTGGGTTGGGAGCCTGAGTACCCTGGTATTTTTTAAGGTTCTCAGGTGAACCTCAGGTACTTACCTAGGGAAGAAACACTAATCCAAAATCTGTTTTACATAAAGGAATAACTTAAAGTGTGGTTTATAGTTCAACATAGTTTAAAGCTTTCAGCCAAAAGAATTTGAAACAGTTACGACAGTGCCATTTACCAAACCGCCTGTGTTCAAGGTCACAGAGCTAGCTAGGTAAGGCCGACCTCCAACCATCTTTTCCCTATTAATGTTAAACCACCTGATCAGCACAGACTCTCATCACCCACTACAGCTGGAATCACAGGAATGATTGCCCAGATATTTTTGTTTATTTAGACAACAACAACAAAACAGTACCTTTTGTGATTTTGACAATGAGACCGGTTTGGAGACCCATACAGTTGAGCCATGTTCTGTTCCAGCAATGAAAATGAAGTGTCCAGTGCACAGAGTTTCTTATTTCATTTATTCAGAAAATAATGTATTAGTTTCCTAGGCCTGCTGAGCACATTGCCAAAAATAGTGACTTAAAACAACAGAAAATTATTACCTCCCAACTTTGAAAGCTAGAAATCCAAAATCAAAGTGTTGGCAGGGCCACATGCCCTCTGAAGACTATTCTTAGTTTCTGGTGGTTGCCAGCAGTCCTTGGTATTCTTTGGCTTGCAACTGCATCTCTCCAGTCTCAGCCTTCATTGTCACATGGCCTTCTTCTGTGTTTGTATCTGTGTCTCAATGTTCAAATATCCCTCTTTGTTCTCTTTTTATAAAGATACCAGTCATTGGATTAGGGCCCACTCTAATCTACTATGTCTTCATTGTACCTTGATTATATCTGCGAAGACCCCATTTCCAATTAAGGTCACTTTCACAGGTACCAGAAGTTAGGAATTGAACATATGTGTTTTTGAGAAATGGAATTCAAGCCACTACAACAGACTGTAGAGCATTTACTGTATTTAGAACAAAATAGATATACTGTGGCATTAGAGATGTCCAAGTAAAGTAAACAAAACAGATCAGGTTTTCAGAGGAATCAGGGAATGCTTTATAGAAGGTTTTCTTTTTAGAAGGTACTAGAGAGTTACATCATAAAGAATGCGAAAAAGACAACACAGACATGGCAGGGGACAACCACACCACTGAAAAGACAATGTGTAAAACTGTAAAAATAGGAAAATATAGGCCCCATTGAAGATATAATAAGTGGTTCACATACAATACCCACCAAACAAATTGAACTGAATATACTAGTCATGGTCTTTTACTTTTATAAGAACAGAAATTCACTTAGGATAGTGCTAAAGAAGGATACAATGGACAGCTGACAGCTGTACAGGTAGAAGAGCCGAAAAGGTATCCAATATCCAACCTTTGTGGTATTCTCGCCATCTGTCAAGAGCATCTTCAGTGCGTCTCTGCTGCTTTCTGTGTCTGTACCAGTTCTCACTGTTTCTCTCTTGACTATGCTCCTGCTTACTCTTTTGGTTATGGTGGCCCGAGGACTTCGCCCAGAAGTAAGGAAGTGCTCAGAGAATTGTGGGGACAAGTCAAAAGAGGATTTGGGACAAATATGGTTATAACTTACTGAAAAAAATAGAAGCTGTAAGTCTGCAGTGATATAAATAAATGGAAAAGTAGAGAGAGTAGCATGTGCTTACAGTAGAATGAACGACAGTATTAGAAAACCATTTGACAACCATAATAGTAATAATTTTTTTAAACCACAAACATCAGTTGTGTATAACTGGTTTGTGAAAGTAAGGTGAGGAATAGATCTCACAAAATATTTATGTATTACAAAGTTGCATCCTATTGGAAAGTACAAGCTACCTGTGTTGGAGAAGTTGGACAAACTTCCTCTTGTGTGTGGAAAATTAACACGAGAAGAGTAAAGGTATTAGTGGTGTGTAAGGCTTCTAGTCCTAGCTGAGATGAGGTTGTGGGAAAGCCACCAACCTGTTCTCATGTCACAGCCGTAGACCACTGTAGTCATTAGCAAAGGGGCCACTCCAGAAGCTGCTTTTCCCAGATCTCTGACTTCTTCCTTTTGTTCCTGGTACTCACTAGAATTTACAGAGCTTTTCATTTACGTTTCAATTAGTTTAACTTAATCCAACAAAGGTAAAGAAGCATTTTTTTTTTTCCTTTTAGGAAACACTCATGTAATAGATTTTCATGTCTTCTAGAATGTTTAAAAACTTGAGATTGTCTTTAAAAGGTGCTCGCTGATGGATTCCTAATGATTGGGATTGACGGCTCAGAAGCAGCAGACGGATCTGACTGGTTCTGTTATCATGCAACCTCTCCTTCTATTTTCCCTGTTGGTTTCTGTGAAATTAATATGATTGAACTTACTCCACCTAGAGGTACTGCATTTTTTTTCTCATAAAGTATCTGTTAATGGCATTTAACACAGCCCTAGATTTCTTGCTATGTGAATTTTTCCTGAGCATGTATTCATCTAGCTTACTGTTTCATACATAAACTTTTTAATAAAATATTTCACTGAGAATAAGCAAATTTCCATCCATGTTACCATGTGGCTTTTTAAGAGAAAGTCTATCTTAGTTTAAATAGCTGTCATGGCCTAACCAGTGACTGTTTTCAAATTTTGATACATACCTGAGACTTAAGAGAGGCAACAGTTAAACCCAAAGTCTATAAAAACAATATTATTTTCTTCCTTGAGAAACAAGAAAAATGTTAAATGACCAACTATTCTAAGCCAAGAATTGAAAAAGCAAACCAGTTTCTGAGTAGACAGAAGAAAAGAGAGTCACTTTTGCCTGAGAGTTCAGGAGACAAAAGTAAGTAAGTAAAGTACTAAGTACCTAGAAAAGGAAATAAGTCCATGAAACATGAGGCAAGTATTGTACCTGCTGTATTGGAATTTCAGTTAGAAATCTACCATCTAACCTACAATCTTGAGAGTTTTGTGGGTACTGAGTCATTCCCCGTTGTTTTCATATTATGCTAATTTTAAAAGATGTGATACTTAAAACTATTATATTTTTCAGGTTACACAAAACTTCCTTTCAAATGGTTTGACTACCTCAGGGAAACTGGCTCCATTGCAGCACCAGTGAAACTATTTAATAAGGTAAATTCACATGGCAGCGATAATAATGGTCTATTTTTTAAGTGCCTCACAAATGCAAGTTAAGCAAAACATCTTGTTTTATACTAGAATTTCTTATAACTTGATATGAATAAAATATACAAGGCTAAGCAAAAAACAATTGCTATGAAATTATAGAAACCTTTATTAACAGAAATATCAGATATGAGGCTATTGATTCTCAACAAATCCTCTATCTGGATCTATATGCTTCTGAAGGCAATGTTTCCATCTCACTAACCCTTCCCTGTAGAATTCTCTGCTTTTCAATTTACACCACACCAAAAGGACAGTTTTGGCATCCTCAAGGAACTCAAAGCTTGTTCCTTTTTAATGTCTTTTGAGTTTGGGGAACAAAAAGAAGTCTGAAAAGGCAAGATCAGGGCTGTAGGGTACATAGGGTAGTTTCCTATAAGATCCTTATTTGTTGTTGCTAAGTGCTGACTCATAGCAACCCTGTATAGGGTTTCCAAGGAGCGTCTGGTGAGCTTAAACCACCAACCTATGAACAGGTGCGCATTGTCATAATGAAAAGAAAAAAACTTAACCACTGCAAAACTTCCCTGACCTTTGTCTCACCAGTGAAGTTTTCCATTTTCTGAAAACTTCTTCATAATAAGTTCTTGTGATTGTCCTGTGTCCTTTGAGAAAATCCATCAATTTACCCTTTTGGTATCCATAAAAGTCGCCATACCCTTCTGAGATGATTTCTGTATGTTGAGCATAACTGGTCCATGAGAGTCTCTTGGAATCCACTGTTTTGTTTGGACCTTTTTTTATGGAAGGTACCCTAATGAGACTTGCGTCTTAAAACACAAATGTGTTTCCGAGAAGCTGGGTTATATGAAGAAGAATGTAGCATCAGGATTGGTAAAGAAAAGGAAAATCCTCAGAAATGGACCAGTAAATGACATGATGAACAGAGAAAAGATTGCTGGGATCCACATATGTGAGGCTACTGAAAATAAATACCATGGCTTGGGCCAGCCAGGTGCACCTTAGTTCTCAAACTGATCTCTTTGCTCTTATAAACACTTTAAAGAAGTCTCGGGCAGATTTTGCCTTTGATTTCTTGACTGCTGTTTTCATTAGCACTGATTGTGGATCCAAGCAATCTTTTCTCTGTTCATCATGTCATTTACTGGTCCATTTCTGAGGATTTTCATTTTCTTTACCAATCCTGATGCTACATTCTTCTTCATATAACCCAGCTTCTCGGAAACACATTTGTGTTTTAAGACGCAAGTCTCATTAGGGCACCTTCCATAAAAAAAGGTCCAAACAAAACAGTGGATTCCAAGAGACTCTCATGGACCAGTTATACTCAACATACAGAAATCATCTCAGAAGGGTATGGCGACTTTTATGGATACCAAAGGGGTAAATTGATGGATTTTCATATGCATGTGAAAGGAGCTCTGGTAGAGTAGTGGTTACGAATCGGGCTGCGAACCTTAAGGTCAGCGGTTCGAAACTACCAGCCGCTCCGCGGGAGAAAGATGAGGCTTTCTACTCCCGTAAAGATTTATACCCTCGGAAACCCTGTACAGGGTCGCTATGGGTCGGACCCGACTCGATGGCACATAACAACAACATATGCATGTGAAAGTTGGACAGCGAATAAGAAACCCTGGAGAAAAAGCAGTGCATTTGAATTATGATGTTGGGAAAGTACCAGGGTGGCCAGAAGAAGAAACAAATCTGTCTAGGAAGAATTGCAGCCCGAATTCTCCTTAGAAGCAAGGATAGCGAAACTTCATTTCTCGTATTATCAGAAGGGACCAGTTCATGGATAAGGACCGCATGCTTGGTAAAGTAGAGGGTCAACAAGAAAGAAGTAGACCCCCCAATGAGATGGATTGGCACAGTGGCAGCAACAATGAGCTCAAAACATAACTGTGAGGCTGGCACAGGACTGGGCAGTGTTTCTGTTGTTGATAGAGTTGCTGTGAGTTGGAACCAACTTGAGGGCAGCAAATAGCATTACTGAGAAAACTTGTCTGCAGCTATCCACTGATCCACAGAGATATGTTTAGATGTGTTTGTTTGAAATCAGCTTGTACATGGTATGAATTGGAGCCCTGGTATCAATGCTTTTGGACTTATCTCTCATATACCAGTAAATATAAGTGTTTCTTAAGAATTGAAGCTTGTTTGCAAACTGTTTTATTTTTACAGTCTGAGTAAAATAGAAATTAATCATTTTCTACCTAAGTGTTACGTGCTTCACTTTTACAATATATTTCAATTGTTAAATAATTGTTTGAGATGTCTTATTTAATATGTGATATTCGGCTGTGTTGCTTCTTCTACTTTTTGCTTTTTTTAGTGATAGTGGAGTTGTGTGTTGTTCTTCTGACTGGTGTTTATGTTTTACTTCTCCATGCAGGATGTTCCAAATCACGGATTTCGTGTCGGAATGAAATTGGAAGCTGTAGATCTCATGGAGCCACGACTAATATGCGTAGCCACAGTAACTCGAATTATTCATCGTCTCTTGCGGATACATTTTGATGGATGGGAAGAAGAGTATGATCAGTGGGTAGACTGTGAGTCCCCTGACCTCTATCCTGTAGGGTGGTGTCAATTAACTGGATATCAGCTACAGCCTCCTGCATCACAGTGTAAGTTGGTATACAGAAAAGGTGTCCTTTTATAAAAGTCAGCAGTTCTCCAGAGGACTATCTCACATAAGTCATCTTGTGAGCTCACAGGACAAGAATATACCTAAGTCTGATTGGTTGCCAGGTAAGATATTAAGACTAGACTCAACATCACAGAATCAGACCATGTATACCATGCATGACAGACTGAACTTAATAGTCAGTTACATAATGACTATTAAAGGCACAATAGTAGCAGCATTCGCCAGGTTTAACAATTTGTTATTTTATTGAGTATAAAATTAAAGGCTGAAATTGTATTTTATATAATAAATGCTTGTGTAAATAGTGGAATTTGTCTGGTGTTGAGGTTTATAATTTAGAGGAATATGAACCCATATTTTCAAAGCTTCTTGTACCTTAATTAGCATAATGGTTTTGGTTAAGATAGTTCATCTAAGTTGTATCTGCAGTGCTAAGCAGTGATCTGGTACCATTTTTTTCTTTTATTTTGCAGCATCAAGAGAAAGCCAATCAGGTTCATCAAAACAGAAGAAAAAGGCTAAGTCCCAGCAATACAAAGGACATAAGAAAAGTGGGTCACCACATGGTGTTTACATATATTTCCTAATTATTAACCAGTTGGGGTCACATGGTATTCTTTCTTGCACAGAAAATGATATCCCTTGTTAGAAGTGATGGCTGTACGTTCTGTATGCTTAAAGGTGCAGTATGCCGTAAAAGGCAAACCTTTTCAATAATGAGAAACACCCATGCTTTGATTTACAGGAAAATGAGTACCTTGGTAAGAAGTTTTTACCTTCATGGTCAAAAGTAGAACTTATGAATGAGTCTTGAAGTAATATGTAAACCTACCAAAGGTCCAGGGGCAGCAGCAATGTGCTCAGGCATAACAGCATTTGGGAGAAGGATGCAGGACGGGCCAGTGTTTTTTTCTGTTGAGCATGGCATCACTGTGATTTGTAATTGACTTGCCGGCACCTGAAAACCACCACCAAAAGCTAACCATTTTTATTATTCTATTTATTAAAAACAGATAACTTAATGCATACAAAAGACTTGTTGGAGCCTAATAATACATCTTTTCTATACACTACATCTCTTTTTCTAGAATGATATTTTTAAGAAACCCGGGTTGCTAGCTAACAAAGACTTCAGCAAATTTTTCTAAGCTTTCTTTATATATTTTACCTTACAATGAATGAATATTGGCGTTAATAGCCAAAGTTATATTAAATATGTTTATAGCTGTGTTTTATTCTTTAAGATGTTTCTCAACCTTACAAAGCCACAGGTTTTTCTCCTCATGAAATTTGTCATAGAATATTTTATTGATACAAGACTTTTTTATTTAAAGATGATTTTAGAAATGAAAATACAAGTGTCACATATCAAAATGTATTTGAATTTTTGAATGGAAAACCAATTTGCTCTGTCAACTCTGACTCGCAATAAAAAGGTAAATAATAAAGTGAATTTAGGGCTAGAATGTGGAGGAGCCCAGACAGGCCTTGGATTCTGCTGTTGAATGAAGCCACAGTGGGAGTACCAATGGAGCTACTGCTCAATCCTGTCTCTTCCAGTTAGCACTGTGTAGTCTTAGGACTTCATGCTTGATTTGTGAAATGAAAAGAACACTGCCTACTTCAAGGAAATTTTGATGCAATTAAATGTGAATTTTCTTTTTTTTTAAGTTCCTTTGAGCATTAAAACAAATATTTTAAAAACAAAAGATACTGAATAATTTACTGTGGAAAAAAACCCAAAGAACTAAAGTGTATTTTTCCAGCTGACTTGTCCTATAAGTGATAATCTGTCTCATTAACAACCAGGGAACAAAAGAAAAAACACTGTTAGCTTATTTTCCTCTTTACTGTTTATGAGCATTTGTTTATAATTTTTTTTTAAGTGGGAAATGGCAGTGATGTTTGGAAAACAAGCCTGAAATCCAAGTCAATTTCACAGCAATGATAAAACCTACAAGCCTCTCTCTTGCCCTTTTATATTACAGGCCTAATCCTCACATAGTCCCAGAACTGTTTTACCCACCAGTTGCTTGCCAGATCTGACACTTAGCACATGCGAGGTCTGACACTTAAGAACCTTAGAGAGCATTGTCAGACCAGGCAGATTCAAAATACCCTGCTTATCTGGAAGTAAGAGGAAGAATTCAAATGACTTTATCAGTGAACTAACAATAGCAAATATGTCTAAATTTTCTGTAAGGCTTGGATGACAGGGCAGCTAATCTCTTGACTTGCTATTAAACAAGACAGATCTCAGAATCTTACTAAGACATAGAAGAATTAATTACTGCTTTATGCTCCTCCGTAACTGTGAGACCTGATTTCCGAGTCTGTGCCCAGTTCTCACAGGCCTTGCTCAGTGTGACTCCTTCAGGGTTCCTGTCTAGTTTATGGATTTAATGATTTTGAAATAATTCATGAAGTATCGTATTAAGTACTCTAAATTTTAGCAGTAGTTATCATTACTAGATCTCTAGATTAGATGGAAAAATGCATTTAGCATGTTCTTTATGACATCTTAATATCTCTTAATATTATGATGTCATCTTTGATGCCTTTAAATAGTACATTGGATATAGAAAGGAAAAGAACTATATACCCACAATCCGTCATTCAAAACCCTTGGGGCCAGATGTGTTTTAGAATTGAGAATTTTTTTGGATTTTTGAAAGTAAATGTAGTATATACAGCATATGTTTTGCAACCCCCTTGCAGACTCTGGGATGTTTTTTGAAACACAGTGTAGATAAACATTTGCATGAAATGGGTCAAATAAAGATTATAAAGAATACTACCAAATAAGGGCAGGTTTTGTTACAAAAGTTCTCTGAAAAAAAGTGTTGAATTTTGGTGTTGAGGATAAGGAATTGTCTTATATGCAAAGAAGCCATCCTAGTTATAAAGGTGGTATCTGTTCTTTTTAAGGTTTCTATTACTCAGTACGCAGTTTATTAGAAATGTTACTCACAGAAACCTGTCGTCTAGTGCAGACAGATGGGTCATAAGCATTACGCTTGCTTTTGTCTGCAGATTGTTGTATTTTGGCTCTTATAGTTCATATCAGAGTTCTCTGGTCATTTTCTACTTAAAATTATCTATCCATTGTTTTGGTTTCTTGCTCATTTCTTACAGAAATAAACAGTTGTTGGTTTCATTGCTCTAGTTTGTTTCCTAATGAGTTGTGCTTATGCTCTAAAGGAATGGCTATTAATTCAAGAATGTGACAACAAGAGTGATGTTCTGCCAAGAAGACCATACTGATTATTGTCTATATTGTTGTTGTAAAGTGCTGTCAGGTCAGTTCTGACTCATAGCAGCCCTGTGTATAGGGTGTTGAAGGAGCAGCTGGTTCAAACTAAGCTGACGTTGTGGTCTAGTGCATTAGCCCACAAAGCTGTGTATCTAATCACAGAATCCTGTTTCTCAAGGTGTACTCATTGTAGAGCAGGAAAATCAGCACTGGTTTTGTACATAGTTTACTGTACTGTGGGTGATAGAATGTTGGAGAGTCTCCTTGTGCGGCACATTAGGAAAGGTCTTAAGTAGTTGCTGCATGAATTGGCTCTGGCAGTTGAGAGTTGGTGTTCTCAGGGATAAATTAGCCTCCAGACCATTTTACTGAGAGGTGCTGTTAGTCTAGATTACCCTTAATTATTCTATACTCTGGAAGGTAATAGACAACTTTTAGTCACAGAGGCTAAGTATTCTTCAGCTTTCAGCCTGCTTAGTGCAGTGTGCTTGGTGGTTCAGTATTTGGATAGGATTGTTGAAAAGTACAGAGTGTTTTTTTGTTGGTGAAAGCATTGAAGTCTTAGGTTAGTTTATGAAATTGTAGTCAAAGAGTTCGCAACATTTGCTTTAAAAGAAATTTGATTGCTTAGAAACTTAAGTACCAAATTTTAAATTTTTGAAGTGCTTTTCAGATTAAGAATTACATATTTTTTTATAAGTTTTACAAATAATGAGCATATGTAAATAGCACACCCACACATACAACACAGAGTTCTGACATAACTCTTGGGGATCGTACATAAAATATGAATGGCGGTATGTGTTTTTGAAAAAAATATATTACAAACCGAAAATTAAGTGAGTTGAGTACATTACATATCAGTAAAGTCCTGCTACCCTGCTAATACATTTAAACTGGTGAACCAGTAATCTTGAAGGCCAGTGTTGTGGCTTATGTGGATAGTGACTGATATCCTAAAAGTTAGGGTTTTGAGACTCTCTTGCCCATTGGGTTCTTTACCCCTCAAGCTGAGTCTGCAGTATTTTCGTGAACAAAATTAGCCGTTGTCCATACTTAATGCCCTCGGTAGTTCATTTTGCCTTGTTTTTTCGTAAATTGTTTGTGAGTTGGGACCAGGATAATAGCCTTTCAGAGAAGATAATCTCCCCTATCACTCACTCACTCATTCACTCTCTCGCTCTCTCTCACACACACACACTCACACACACACACACACACACACACACACACCTTTTCAGAAATAACAAACCCTGCATAGTTGGTTCTCTTTTCAGAGTGTCCTATGCAACACAACCTTTCCTAGTTATATAATGCACTTTTCTTACCACGCATGTAAGTAAAAGCTTACTTTAGTCTGACTTGATATTTAGAGAGGAAGATGCCAGTTGGGAAGAAGCCTGTCAGTTTGTCGAGCCTGCCCATGACAGGTGAGGTGCGGAGGAGCTTCTCTGGTGACGAAGAGTTGACTCCTCCTCCATATCGAACCCTTCCAGCACAGACAGCCCCGGAGGCCCTCCCACCTCCCAGCACTAGCCGGGAGTTCAGTCCCAGCCTCAAAACAGGTAACTAGTCACATCAGCACCTCAGGTACTACAGAGGGTGAAAGTGCTGGGCAGGGTGGGGGGAGACGAAGCATGGTCTGGCATGACAGATGCTGACTCATTAAATTTGTCTTTTTCTTTTAACTAAAAAATTCATTTTCACTAGTCCTTGATAGTCACGTCACTAGCCGAATCATCAGGGAAGGACTTTTATTTTGTATCCAACCACTTCTAAGCTTCAAATTAGGGTAAAGCTACAGGTTCCATTTATGGAAGTATGAGACAACTTGGAAGGAATGTTTCATGGTTTCATTAAAATGATCAACCATTTTGCATCATGGAATTCCACTGTGTTCTTGACCTAGGGGGGAAACGTGTCACTAGGATTGGTCTGATGAATCACACCCAAAGAGGAGGCTTTGTTTGACCAAAGGTTCATAGCATTCCATAGTCTCTCCTAGATTGGAAGAATGTGTTCTGAATTCCTGTGTGTATTTGGTTCAGGTAGTAACATTACTAAGATCTTAATTGAACAACGTGGACTTGGAAATTTGATACCTGTATAATTTTGGTATTAAATGTGAGTGACATTGTTTCATAATTTCATATATGAAAGTGGCTACTTTCAGGTAGATGGCATTTAATTGGTTCATCCAAGTAGTCAATTTTAGGGAAGCTTGTGAATGTTATGCCCTTGGTAATTGCTAAAAATAAGTGTGGTGTCATCATAGACTATCAAAAAGATCTCACTTGAGTTTGATGAAATTCAAACTGTGTACAGAACCAATAGCATCAAAGCCAGAGTTATTTGTATCTTACTTGGCATATATTCTGCCATATCCTAATCACTGCTTTTCAACTTAATCATTTATATAATCATTAAAATGGCTTTTGTGTGTTGAAAGCCTTAGATGGGACTTAGTATTTTGTTCTGTGTTCTTCTCAGCATTTGCTTATATTTTTGTACCTGAAATTATCATTAGCCTTTTGTTGTGGGGTGGGGGCTGCATTTTAGGGGTATTACTTAGCTTCTACCTTCCTAACAGTTTATTAGGTCATTCTTATCCTTCCCATCTTGTTTTTGTGAAGACCGTTCATATACCCTTTAATTTAAAGAAAATTACAATACCTTTTTTATATGAAGAATAAGTCTGGAAAGCCAGTTGTTATCTGCTCTTTAATGGAGAAACCTAAGTCTTAAGAGCATTCACTTTATTTATTAATTTATTTATTTGTTTTGAATGAGTTTTTATTGGATTTTGGGTTCATTTTCTGTAAACTTTAGACTAATTTTGGAGGTGTGGTGTGGTACATTTTGTGAGAAGTTACTGATTCACTGAATACAAAAGTTGGCTTCGGGGATTGGCAGTCCAAGAACTTAGAATAATGTACGGAGTGGGAATCATGTGGCCACCTAGTGACTTCCTCTTCTCCAGTGTCTGCTGTGTCTTTGGAGCTCGGTGCACATTTGTAAGACTTTGTGTGATCTTATTTTGGGAAAACTACACAGAGGTTACATTGCCACCTTAACTGTCTGAAAGCTATGGTTAGCGTAATTGTTGAGAAAGTTGCTTTTTTTATGGGCTTCCTAACTGGGAAAATATTATTCTGGTTGACTTATCTCCTAAAATATTAGTAATTAGAGTCAACCAAGTGACTCCCTTTTAAAAAAGAAAGCTAAGAAACGGGACTTGTATAGGTGACATTCCACCACAGACTCTATTCTGTCTCATCTGTCATTCATTGAGAATTTGACCTGTAAAGGAGAGATGAAAAGTGTGGCTATATAAGGCAGGTTTTACTTTTAGGTTCCATGAAAACAACTAAAATGCATATTAAAACATTCCACATCTGAGTGAATCTTTCACCTGTATCTTTAGTGATTTTATTTTAAATGCATCATTTCCATATTTCAACATGACTTAGAAGTATAATCCAGAGAGATTTGTTGTTAGCAATAAATGCAACGAGTTTCAGGGTATGTTTTAGAATCTCAACTTGTATTTGATTTTTACGAAACATTGGTTTGAATGGAAATGTTCTAATCTTTTGAAGTACAGTAATTCTTTTCTCACTCATTTAGCCATCTGATCATCATATAACAAGATACTGTTTTAATCAACCTTTTATTGTGGGTACTGCACCTTTAATGAAACTTGTGTATTGTTTTCTTTTTCTTTTGTTTATTTTTATGGCATCGTTATAATGTCCCAAACACTTTGCTAATGCATGTTGGTTAGATTTGAAGGATAACTGTCATGCAATTTATTGTTTACCATAAAAGCAGTTTTATACTAAGTAGCTTTTAAATAAAGGAAGAAATGCACAGTCTTCTTTGCTTTATGTGTCAGCAATCTGATTTGGGAATTATTTGGCTATTATTACTGTTCGTGTATAATGTATTCACTTTTCAGTCTTTGGGCTATTAAGTTTTTCACAGTCAGCTCCACAATAAGTACCAAAGTAAAATAAAAATCAATTGATCTCTCTCAAAAAACTGTTCTTTAAATAATAAATGGGATGCCAAGGATCATAAAACTAATTTTTATAACTAAATAAAAGCATGAAGTATTTTCCTGTTTGAGTTTAAAAATACAACCATTTTAATGTTCCACATGATGCAAATGAGTAGTGATTGCTTCATGAAAAAAAAAAAAAAAGGTTTACATCTCATCTAAATACTCTTGACTCTTAATTCTCCTCATAACTTGATTTTTTTACCCAGTATGAGCAGTATGCCATCTATATACCGTATATGTGCTGCTTTTCTCCCCACTCATAATAAAAGGATCCCTAGAGAAGAGAAAATAAATGAGCTTATTTGGGGTTAGATGCATGCAGGGGCCAGCAGCTTACCCCAGTGTGTGAGGCCTGCTAGCACAAGTGTGTCTCACAGGTTGCAGGTGTGGTGAACGTGGGGCGGGGGCGGGGCTCATCAGAACCACTCAGCAATGCTAGTTTCATGGTGCCAACTCCACCATACTTTGCAGAGTTTCCTCTCATTTCAGAGTATTTTATTCTAAGTTTAAAATAACCATGGGGGACAGTCCAGGGTTTGGAGGAGCAAATTTGTGACCTCTGATTTAACAGACCTGTATGTGCTGAAGAAGTTGGGAAAGAAGGTTCACAGTGCTCACTGTGGGACTGGATTCCAAGGACTCATAGCATACAAGATTACTTCACCTGGTTTTTAAAGAGTATCCTCTACAACACAAGTAATTAAACATTACTACGTTTTGTTTTTAACCCGAGTCTTTCTGAAAGGTCAGAAGTTACTGAGACTTGTCCTTAACACCAGATGAGCTTATCTGCACAAAAGAGGGAATGAACATTTTTATGAGAAAAGTAATATTTTAAAGGGAAGAATGCTTCGGGAGATAAAGTAGGCTTCAGGGAAGTGATTGATTTAGGGCAGTCTAAGGCTTCTGGGTTGAGGAGCATTAACAAGTAAAAGTGGTGGCGGTGGTGACTCACAGTGAGGTTCCTGAATAAGGTTTCCAGGGGTGTGTCTATAGGAGCAGAAAGCCTCTTTCTCCTGTGGAGCAACTAGTAGTAGATTCGAACTTGAGATTAACAGCCTAACTCATAATTCACTATGCTACCCAGCTGTTTAGCAAGTAAAAAGGGGTTTATAAAAGATAATAGGGAAATTTCATAGCTAAACTTGGCCTGAAATTTTTGCCTAGGATCAACGTTGTTAAGTGCCGTCAAGTTGGTTCCAACTCACGGCAATCCTTTATAGGGTTTCTGAGGAGTGGCTGGTGAATTTGAACCGCTGACCTTGCTCTTCAAACCATGTTTATCCTACAGCGCCGCACCAGGACTCCTAGGACCAACATTGGGTCCCAGAAAAGAAGATGAAATTCCTTTCTCTTCATCTTTACCCATGCACCCTTCACAAGAACCCAGCTCTAACAATTCTGACTAGCATTACAGCTACATTGTACACACTTCTGTGGCTATCCACAAATCTTTCCCCACTTAATGGAAAACCATTTTCCATAGAAAGGAAATATAAGCTGTATTGGTAAATTGAGGACTGCCTATATCTAGTGTTTGTTTTCATGAAAAAGCAGTCATCAAAAAAGAACACGGCAGTGATTACTACTAAGTGATCTCATGGGTCATGTTACCAGTTCCCATCAATGACTTTCATATTGCTGGTGGTCACATTTTTTTTTCTTTTAAATTAAAATAATTACTTAGCTTTTCATGATTTCAGTTTTCAGTATAGGAATACTCATTTTTTTCTTTTCCTTCAGGAAATCTTTTTACTATAAATATTTCTGTCTTTAGGGTTGATGAGATTATGCTAAAGTCAGATTTATCATATTGCTACTTAATAAATACAATAGCTCAGAACTAGGTAAGAAATGTGTCATTATTCGTAATAGACAATGACAGAAAAGTGAATACTTAATTCTACTTTTTATAATCCAATTAATAAGCTCTGTTATTTTGAGCATTCCATTAAAGGTGGCCAGTGAATATGCAGCATTGTTCCCTTTCAGGGCATTTCCTTACCGCTAACAATTAAATGCTTATACTTCAAGGTCTGATTTTAAGAATAAATTAAAGTCGTACAGACTTAATATTATTAAGACTTGTTGACACTTCCTAATATGACTAGTCTTGTTCATCATAGGGCTGGTGGAACATGAAGGTCAGAGGCACTGTGACTGTCCCAGAAAGACCTAACGACACGCTGTGTCTCTCTTCTACAGTGCCGACACTGCCGTTGAAGGAGGGGCTGCTAAGCGGAGAGGACTATCACTTCCTCCAAGGAGTAGCTGATCAGGAAAGCAACGGTTCTGCCAACTTCTACATCCAACAAGAGCCCTGAGGCAGGGAGGCTTACACAGGACTGTACAGCGGGACATTTTGCTAAACAGAGAAAATTTCAGTTCCAGATTTTTCAGGTGGGTGGGGAAACTATTTTAGTCTGGGAGGAAATTTTTCAATTTATAAAAGATGGACAATTTTTGTGTTGTATTTGAAGCTTTTGAAAGAATTTTGTAATATTTTCCAAGTTTGGATTTATGTGCATTGTTAACAAGAACTGAATTCTAACTTTTTGGTAAGATAAAGGTTAGGTAGCAGGATTGAAGGAAATGATTTAAGAAGGATATAGCTGTAAATGCAAATGAACTGTCATTACAAATGAACCTTTTTGGTACCTGTTGGGAGACTTTGGAATTTTAGAAGTTAGGCCAGTCACATCTCCAGCTTCCTTTGCTGCAGAAATATGCAACTGAACCCCACATGGAGGGTTAATCACCACATCGATCATGGAAGGGGTCACTTATTCTGCTCGTTAGCATTTTATTGCAGCCCATTTTAAATGTTTGTACAGAAATGTTTTTCATTCTGTGAAAAATTATTTGGAGTTCTATATGAAACTGGAAGAACTCTGGATACTTTTATATGTTTGCTCTTAATTTAAAAAAAAGAAAAAAAAGTTCACTGCTCCAAACACTAAAGTGTTAAACTGGAATGGTTGAGGCTCTCAGTCTACATGTTGAGGAGTTGGGGAAAATGCAATATCATTCTAAGTTTATTTTATTTTTCTTACTGAAATGTGCTCCCCAAAAGGGATTCTGATCAGTTCTCCACCATTTCTCTCAATCTGTGGGTTAGTACTTTGTATAACCATACCCCCAAACAGATGTTGTGTGTTACCAGGAGAATCAAAAGCTGTTTAAGGCCAAAATAAGTTTAGATTTCACAATCATTCCAGCTCTGCTTTAACTATCCTGGATTTGTTGGAAACAGATTAGAAAAAGAGCTTCTTAATTTTCTTAAAATTCCACATATACAGGAATTGTCTTTCTCTGTATTCCGAGTTCATTTTTAAAACAACTGATTTGGACCATTTTAAACATTCCCTGTTTTAAAATTCATATAGCACCCTTAAAAAAGGTTACAAGCATAAATTGGTGAAAGGTTTGCTCTCTGCATTTTCTAACTTTCTACTGAGCTGTGACTGAACAAGAGAGCTCTAGCGTTTACCAGTGAGGTTCATAAACTAAACTCTCAGGAATTAATTGCATCTGTTCGAGAAGTGCTTCTGGGTCTTAGCCTGGCCTCTTCAGAGTGATAATATTGACCATCTCCTCTGGAACATAGGTAGGGCTAATTAGAAATTAATCAAAATGATTAACCTCTACAGTCCTTCAGTCTATGGAATGTTTTAAAAATGTTAATGGACAGCCCCAGGAGACCATTTTAGGTAAGACTTTTGTTTGAATTTTAAAATGCATAGAACGTTAAAAACCAGCAATTTATTTTCTAAAATATTGCTCTACTTTTGGGTATAATAACATTGGTAATACGCACAGGTTTACCTCATTCTATGCAAGAGGGGTTAATAACATATGGTTTTATAGTTGCTACTGGAAGTAACATTTGTTATAGTGTAAGAATGTATGGAATTGTGCATGTCATCATTTCTTAATACCGACTCTTGGAGGGGCATAAATGCAGATCATATCAACACAAGTTGATTCTCATGTGTCAAATATATGTGAATTCAGCTGTTAAAATTACTGGATATTTATCTTAAACAACATTGCTGAGAGAGGGACCTACTGTAAATGTGACATCCTCACACTTCCCAAATCTTTCATTTTTAAGATCTTCCCATAAACTTAAAGCCTAGAAGACTTCCAAAGCAAGGGTTGCAGCAATCTTTATTCTCAGGCTCCATGAATTAAACCCAGGACTCTGGTTCCATGGTACAGGCACGAGATGCCAGTTGTGTGGCATACCATACCCTAGGAATTCTAGGGGGACCTGAACAAGCCCAGATGAATATGATTTGGAGCCAGTCAGTCCTGGTGATTAGTTCTATGAAATGCTCATTTGTAGCCAGGTTAATACTACGCTTCCAGTTCTACAGCCAAACTAGGCTCTGAGTGTTTTTGAATTTCCTACCCACACATGAAGTGTTTCTTGTCTTGATCGTAGGACCAACAGTTACAAGTTGGTAAAGACTTTCTACAGTCTCAACAAAAAATCTAAAGCCCTCTTTACTGTTCAGGCTCTAACTCCTCCTGCTGATGATCAGAAAACATGAGTTAATGCAGAGGAGATTTATGTCTTAGCCATAACTCAAATCATATATTTCAATAGCCCCATTCTCTTTACAGTTCAAAATCTACTGCTGACCTTGGGTTTATTTTTTATATTTTTCTTGTTAGAATTATTTGAGGACTTTGGTAGTTTAAACTCTTTTCCTTGCTGTGTATGAGGAAAGCTAAAGCTGTTATCAACTTCTTATTCTACGGATACTAACACGGGTTTTCAGTGTTTGTTTGTTTTTATTATTATTAATTTTTTGTGATGTGAATACCCTCTCCCATCAATACTTGTATTATGGTGCTATACATTTGGTAATGATCCTTTAATATTGGGGAGGGATTTTAAAAATACTGTGATTAAACTGGGTTTCTTCCTTCATTGATTTTCATATTTTAAATAAAGCCACAGTCATTTATACAAAAAAAAATAAAATATATCTGTTCCTGGGCAAATCCTTTGAGGACAGAGGACAAAGTAAACTGCATAAGGTTTTTACATCATTTCTGTATGTATTTGATATATAGATCAATATCTGTACAAATTTAATCTTTTATTTTCTTGGTAACTTGTGATCATTGAGAAAGTGTTTGAAACTTTCTCATGAAGTGTATATAATGGCGTGAAAAATTCTTTCAGAGAAATTTATGTTCCTTTCATTTTTACCAAATTGCAAATTTTCAGCATGGATGTGAAAAGCATTAAAATTATAACTTTGTGTACACAATGAAAATAATTCACTAAATTTGCCCTTTTTTACACAAAATAAAATGTCAAAGATAAGGTGTATTTGAGCAGTTCTTTAATATGCTTTTTGGGAGGGGTTATTCCAAATATTGAGTGTCCAGAGACCTTTGGGAAACTGAGCCTCCTCATTGTGATCTCAGAAGTGCTGGACTCACGAAGAACAAATTCATTCACAGCTGGTAAGGGTGCCAGGGGCCTGCCAACAGAAACGTGCTAGGCTGCCTAAATGAAAGGTGGCTGGAGGTTTGAATCATACCTGAGGCACCCGGACAGAAAGGCCTAGCAGTTTACTCCTGAAAATCAGCCATTGAAAACCCTGTGGAGTAGTTTCACTCTTAAGAGTACAGTGGCCATGAACCAGGCTCATAGTTAGGGTGGACAAGGCTACATTTGAACGAGGGTTCCACAGAAAGGTAGGGCCAGAGGGGAAAGGCAGCACAGAGGTGGACATGAAATTAAATCATGTTTCAGGGTTGGTATGCTTGTTTTTAAAGAGGCTTTTAAAAAAAGAACCTCAGGATATCCGTTATTCCAGCTAGCTCTTGCTGTCATTATTAAGAGTGAATGCTAAGAACCCCTTCTTTACCAACTACTGGTTCTTTGTAAAATTAATTACGATCTTACTGCAGATGAAGTTTATCTAGAATTTTCAGAATGAAAGATGGTACTGAAATGGATTAGGCCTCTTCAGAGGTTAATTTCACACTTTCAAAAAATATGTTTCAAGTGAAAAAGTAGAAACAAGTTTCTACCTTGCTGCCTTGCTCCATACCTTAAAAAAAAGCCAAACTCTGCCATCAAGTCAACTCCAACACATGAGGACCCTATCGACCAGAGTAGAACTGCCCATAGTGTTTCCCAGTCTTTAAGTCCTTCTAGAAACAAGTTGCCACATCTGTCATCACAGAGTGGTTAGTGGATTCAAACTCCTGACCTGGTTACTCAAGCACTTGTGTGCTAATCCATCAGGGTTCCTACTCATGGTGGCCCTATAATTGCCCTGTTGGTGTGAAGTGCCATCAAGTCAGTTCTGACTGATAGCAACCCTATAAAAGCAACCCTGTAAAGGGTTTCTAAGGAGCAGCTGGTAGGTTTGAACAGCTGACCTTGCGGTTAGCAGTCCAGTGCTGATCCCACAGCGCCTCAGAAAGACTCCATAACTGCTCTAGTTATACTCTAGCTTGGTGCTCATTTAATATCCCATGAACTTTGATACATAAAAATTCCCCATGACTTTTGAAAAACTCCTTTCTTGATATGCTTTATGCCCAGAACCTGTTGTAAGATTAACAAGGTTTCCCCAAAGCATTCAAAGCACTATTTGTCCACCCTTGTGAGAGAAAGACAATGGTTAGATTATTTCCTTTTTAAACCTTTAGTGAAGTTAAGAGTACCCTGTTTGTCCTGTTAGGAATTCCAAGTCCCACCCAAGAAGGGGCTAAAATATTGACAATGAACAGATAATGATGTAACTAATGCATTTTAAGGGGTCCTGGTGTGGAGCTGCAGGATGATATGTTGGACCGTAAGGTTTGAGCCACAAGGTCGGTGGTTCAAACCCACCAGCCACTCCTCAGAAACCCTGTGCAGGGTGGCTATGAGTCAGAACTAACTTGATAGCACTAACAACAAACACAATGCATTTTTAAGTTTTATTGAAAAGCATAAAGTGTTCTGAATAAGTTGTCCACTTTTATACACCTAGCTCTCTATCAAACTAAGTCCTAAACCCAACCTTACTTCAAGAGCAAGTACTTTCAGTTAATCTACCTTTCCTTCTGCAAAAAAGGAGTGGAGGCAGCATCTGACCTTTGACTACACAAGGTGGAAGGAGAATCGGATAACTCCACATTAGTCAGCTAAAAGCTGATACTGAGGCAGAAGTCAGATTTACCTTCTCCCATTTTATCAATTCTGACACCAAAGGTCCATCCCAAGGCACTCTTTACTTCTTAATTGGGTTAAATAATCCATTGCAGTGGCCACACAGAACTCAAAGAGTGTTTATGTCTTTGGGGTTTTTAGGGAAGTTATGGGTCCAGTTCAGGATCAGAAGTATTCAGGATTACAGTGCTTTGGCCTGGAGCACCTCTTCTCACCGCTGCCCACAGGCATGCCTCTCTGGTCCCTGGTCTCCACCCTTGGCTTCTGCTCTACTCAGTCAAGCATTACAAAACTCAATTAGCACTGATAATAAATGTCCAAAGGACATCCCACTTTGCAAGCCAGCCTCCTATGCCCAGAGTCTCTCTGCTTTACTCCTTCCAGAGGCCAAGAAGACCGCTGCTGTCTTGTGCTTAACACCACGGGGTTTGCTGTGACGTCTGCCACCACTGCTTCTCCACACAGGGATCACAGGATCCAACCAACATGCTCTGCTTTTGGCTCCATTCTTACTTGATGGTCATGAGATCTCCCTTCGCCCCCACTCCCGCCTCTGAGACGGCCTTCACTCTATAACCATCAGGATGGGAAAACTGACCAATCCACGTTAGACTGTCACCTAATCCTGCTGTGGCACTACAGGATAAGCACCAGACTGCTAACAGAAAGATTGGTGGTTCAAACCCACCAGTCACTCCTTGGATACCCTATACAGGTTGCTATGAGTTAGAACTGAGTCAACAGTACCTAAAAACCATTTTGTTGGGAGTTGCACAGACCAGTTAGAAGAGCCATAATTCACCATACCACACCTATTCCATCACTAAGTCTTGATATCCAAGGCCTGCCTAGCAATTCCCATTTCAACTTTGGCTTCACCTACCCTTCATTTCAGGACTTTTCTTGTGTGACTTGGCCAAGAGCACACAGTGAAGCCAGCTGCTCAGGCAAGTCAGGCTCCTCGTCTGTAAAATGCGGGTTACTAAGGCAACCTCCTGAATTCGTTGATCAGCACGTGCACAAAGCCAGCCAGTATTTCACTGTGCTGCTGCTAATCCAAGGACCTCAGTCAGTGTGCACAAGAAACACAGCACATTAAAACAGGAGTCTCTACATCCTGCCCCAGAATCTAATTTATTTCTACTTACCTGTATCAAAAGCATATAGCACAAACGTCTGTTAATTTTGAACTTGAAAAATAATTTAGAAATATTTTTTTGTCAGTTTCTTTGCAATTAAAACCTAGACTTTTTTGGATAGGAAGCTGTCAATTCTTATAGCCATTTATTTAGTGTAGCAATCAGCACAAAATGCACCAATGAATCAGGGAGTAACATTTAGCTTTAACTAAATGTTAATAGGAAACTGTTCATACGTTCATGTACTAATTCCATTTTTAAACCAGATTCAGGATGACAGTGGTCTAATCTATTGTATTAAGTGCTGTCAAGTCAGTTCCAACCCACAGCAACCCTGTATGGGGTTTCCGAGGAGCAGCTGGTGAGCTTGGAACCCCCAACCTTGCAGCTCAAACCGCTTTTCAATCTGGTGCATTAACCCACAGCACCACACTAGGTCTCCAATCTATTATATGGATAGGTGCTGTTTGGCCTTTTGTAACTGCCAAACCAAAATGAACCATAAAAGCAGGAAATAAAAAACTACTCAATAACCTCTCATATCCAAGTGACGAGACGAGTAAGAGGGTGGGAGTGTGGGAATTGTCGACCAGCTATGGGCCAGGCACCAGGTTAACTACTTTTGTAATTTCATTTCATTTTCAGTATAATGGTAGGTGTTAGTCCCACCTTATAGATGTCTTCCATTCCCTTATAAGTACCTTGTCCAATTTGCAGTCAGAAAACATGTCAGTCTGAACCTTGTGGTTTGCAGTCCAGTGCTGATCCTACAGCGCCACACTAGGAGTCAAGTCTATAGACAGTGCTCCTCTTTGTCAGGGAACCAAGTCACCCCCTTTGACGCAATATCAAACACAGGAGACAGCACCCAGTTTCCAAAGGCTTTACTCATAAATGTGCTTTCGGAAAGGATCTTCAGTATCATATCAATTCCAAACCTCTGGCATGAAGAGCTGTGTCAAAGGCTCAGGGGTTGGTGTTTTGTCCACTCTTATTCATAGATCCAGTCATGGCTACAAGACTTGTAGTCAACCAATTCCTCTGGCTTAAACCAGAGACTGATTTCTTTCTCAGCACTTTTTACTGAATCACTGCCATGAATGATGTTCCTAGAAAGCAAGCAGTGACTAGTTAGACATGTTTCAAAGTACCAAAGTGTGTTTTAATAGGTGAAACAAGGAACAATGCCGACCTTTGCAGACAAACTGTCCCTTGAAGCAGGAAATCAATTACCCACTAAGTATTTCTTCTCTTTGTTTTTTAAACTTACTGTGATTTGGGCTAAGTTTACAGAGCACTTTGGTTACCATTCATAAGCATTTGTTGGAGGGCAGTCAACAGAATGTAATTAAAAGCATCTTCACACTTCCACCCTGTGTTTCCTATTTCTCTTTGTCCTTGGGGCCTTCTGAGCTTTCTCCCTGGGCAAATTCCCTTTGGATCTTGTATTGTTGCTTGTTCTGAGTGCAAACTTCCCTGATATTATTGGTCACCTGATAAGCTTGCCTATCTTTTGGCTGACATTCCAGTCACAAGGATGAGTTCAGTTCCAAGATGGAGGAGTGTCCAAGGGTCATAGTCTTGGGGCAAAGGATTCCTTCTTAAAAGCAACTATGAAATGAAGGGCTTTGATTTAAAATACCCCTTGTTGTGAAGTGTTATAAGGACCTTGTATAGGGTTTCAAGGAACAGAACGGCTGGAGAGCTTGAACCTGGTGAGCTTGGACTGCCAACCTTGCAGTTCAAAGTGACCTTGCAGTTTTGGAAAACTTATGCTTCCAAGTTTTCCTTTCAAAACAGTTGTACCTCAAGACTGCTGATGCCAAAAACCTTCCGTCTCAATTTTTGAAGAGTGCTGTTAAGTGCCATCAAGGTAGTTCCAACTCATAGCAACCATATGCAAAAAAACAAGACACACTGTCCGGTCCTGAGCCCGCCTCAGAATTGTTCCGCATTGCTATTACCACTGTGCCAATCCATCTCTCTGGCGGGGTCTTCCTCTTCTTCGCTGACCTTCCACTTTACCAAGCATAATGTCCTTCTCCAGGGATTGGTCCAAGGAGTCCTGGTGTAGTGCTGTGGGTTAAGGCGCCAGACTACAAAGCCGTTTAAACTTCAAGGTCGGCAGTTCAAGCTCACCAGATGCTTCTTGGAAACCCTAAACAGGGTCGCTATGGGTCGGAACCGACTCGACGGTACTTGAAAACAGTATGTCTAAAGTATGAGATACAAAGTCTTGCCAGCCTGGCTTCTAAGGAACATTCTGGCTATACTTCCAACACAGGTTTGTTCTTCTGGCAGCCCATGGTATTTTAAATATTCTTCTCCAACACCAGAACTCAAATGTATCAATTTTTCTATGACTATTAGAAACACCATGACTTGAGTCAGGCATACCTTAGTTCTCAAACTGATCTTTGCTCTTGAATATTTTAAAGATGTCTTTTTGCAGCAGATTTTGCCTAATGCATTACATCTTTTGATTTCTTGACTGCTGTTGGCATGAGCGTTTTGTGGATCTAAGCAAAATGAAGTCTTTGACAACATCCATCTTTTCTCCATTTATCATGTTATTTTTTGTTTCAATTGTGAAGATTTTTATTTTCTTTACATTGAGATGCAATCCATACTGAAGGCTGTACTCTTTGATCTTCATCAGTAATTTTTAAGTCCTCTTAAGCTTTCTGAAAGCAAGGTTGGAACATGTGCATATGGCTAGTTGTTAGTAAGTCTTCCTCAAACTCTGGTGCCATGCTTTTCTTCATATAATACAGCTTCTCAGCATACAGGCTGACTAAGTATGGTGAAAGAATGCCAGTCCTGGTAGGCACCTTTCCTGGTTTAAACCATATCTGTTTCTGTCCTCTTTTTCTGTTCAGACAACTGTCTCTTTGGGTCTATGTGCCCGTTCCTCACAAGCAGTCAAGTGTTCTGGAATACCCATTCCTCTCATAGCTTGTCATGATCCACTCACAGCCTTTTCATAGTCAATAAAGCACAAGTGAACAGCTTCCTGATATGCTCTGCTTTCAGCCACTGTCCATCTGACATCAGCAATGACAGCCGTAGTTCTTCAGAATCCAACTTGGGTTTCTGGCTAACTATTGAACATAGACCATTTCGTTTTGGTACACTGACTGTGTAACCCCCTTCTATCTTCTTTTGAGGCTTTCTACATCCTTCAATATTTGGCCCAATCCTTCAGTACTGCAAGTCAAAGCTTCTTTCAGCTTGAGAAATTCTGAGCATGCTCTTCCCTTTTGGTTTTCTAACTCCAGGTCTTTGTACATTTCAGTATAATACTTGAATCTGTCTTCTAGAGCTGCCCTCTGAAATTTCTGTTCAGTTCTGACTTCTAATTTTCCCATTGATACTATTTGTTAATTTCCACATTAAACTGGGTCACCTCCCTTTGGAATGGGCAAATGTGAATCTCTTCCAGTCAGCTGGCCAGGTAGCTGTCTGCCAAAAGGTAGCACTAGTCAAAACCTACCACGGCCTAAAAGTGTAACGTGTTATCAAGGGCGGTTTCTGCTGGATTTCCTTACAACACTGACTTACACCGTCCAACAAGGAAGTATGTGCTTATTAAAGACCATCTTTAATTGTGCTTTTTCTAAAATACTTTCTTCCATTTAAGTCTCATAATCTGTAAAGACAGCCAGACCATTGTCTCCTTTTGCATCGTTGAATTAATAAAAGTTTAAGTGACGCATCCATAGAGCCAAAAAGGGCAGAGCCCACACCCGGTCCTTTGCACTGTGTCATATAGGACCTACCACATACAGCAACCTTGTACAGTGTCTTGGTTAAAATTTTATAGAAGCAGATGAGGGAAGCAGTTATTTAAGAAAACATTTATCCAATGATAGCTAATAGCTAATTTCAAATTTTTCTAAAAAAACGGGACATGTTAAAACTGTTTGCTTTAAATGCTATGAAGGAAAAGTGATCCAATCCCCGCTTCTCAGGACTCACCTGCCAACCTGAATACAGAAATCTCCACGAATGGTGCCTGGCTTAGAATCCGCTGGGTTAGTCTCCCCAAGCATCACTCGACCTGTCTTGACCACGTTCAACCCTTCCCAGACCTTGAGAGGAGAGAAAAGCATGAGCTGTGCCACACAGGACATCCAGGGACTAACATTTACCCCCGACCAACAGCACATGTCAATTAGGCCAATCAAAGCATACTGCTAGGACAAAGTCTAGCAAAGATGGACATAGGAGACCGAAGAGTCCTTATACAGCCTTAAACCCTGAGAAGCAAAGTGCTCTATCAGTAGGAAAGGCTTCCCAGAACACCCTTAAAGCAAGAGACGGGGAAGATTATCATGAAAAGGAAAAGTATACTCCAGGAAAGAACAGATCATACACGGGATATGAGAGAACAGGAAAAAACGTTCTTTAGTTCAGAAAATCTTAAAAGCCTCAAATGCTTATCAAACAACTGAAACAATTTAATGTTTTTTTATAGGCAAAAATGAAGTAATTTAGCACTTCTGTGTTTCGAAAGATGGGGGTTAATATTGATTTATTCATTTTGATTACTAGTCACATCATTATTTGCAAGTGGTGGGTATTGGTACGGGCATGAAATAGAGCAGTATTTTCTAGTCCATGGGCTGTAACCAATATAGTTAAATTATGATTGATATGTATGTATGTAGATACCCATACACATGAGGGGGCTTCAGAAAGGTAGTGCAGAAATGTAACTAAAGGATAATGAATTTTCCCACAAACTTTTCAAGGCCCCCTAAAGTACGTATGTATGCACACACAAATACATTATACATAACCCATATACAGAGACTGGATTTGCTATAAAACTGTATTTCTTACTTTTATATTTCTTACTTTGGGTCCCAGTTAGAAATGTTTGAAAAGCAGACACTTCATTCCATCCTGAGAGTCATTAAGGGCATTATTATTATCTGATTCCCACCATTCAAACAGCCTTCATTTTGCCTAAGGTCTGATTCCCTTTCCTTTTTCTTCCCAAGTGCCTAGTTGCTCTGTTAACTAACCCCAAACCAAAGCAAACCAAATCCAGTGACACCAGTTCTGACTCAGTGTGACCCTGGGTAGAGTTTTCAAGGCTGTAAATCTTTATGGGAGCACAAAGACATCTTTCTCCCATGGCACGGTGGTGGGTTTGAACTGCCGGCCTTGTGGTTACCAGTCCAGTGCGTAATCTACAGCACCTTAGGAAGCTGCTTTTGTAAAATAAAGATTTTACAGTAAAAGTGGAAAAGTAACTGAAAAAGGGAATAGAACAAGCAGAAATTGAGCAAAGCCAAGTACCTCTCAGCCCTTATATAAAGGGACTTCAAAAAGTGGGAAAAACGGGAGTTAAGAGGAAATGTTTGTGCATTTTTTGAAGCCCTTTCAATCCTCAATACCTTGGTTCCCACTCGTCCCCCACAAGCACTCACCATGGCCACAACTGGTCCTGAATTCATGTACTTCACCAGGCCAGGGAAGAATGGGCGGTCCTTCAGGTCAATATAATGTTGCTTCAGGTGCTCCTCAGAGGCCTGCCATAAGAGGGGAAGGATCAGACAGACAGTAAGCCGAATTGGCTAGAATGGGCTCAAACAGGCCACAATTGTAAACTCAGGCAAAGGTTTTCATACTGAAAGAATCATTCTTTGGTGGTTAACTGCTGCTCCTCGTAAACCCTGTTGTTGTTGTTGTGTGCTGTGGAGTCATGTATGACCTATAGCGACCCTGTACAGGGTTTGAGGCTGTAAATCTTCACGGGAACAGAAAGTCTCATCTTTGTCCCGCAGAGCGGCTGGTAGTTTCGAACTGCTGACCTTAAAGTTCACAGCCCGATTTGTAACCACTAGGTAACTAGGGGTGGGAGGGAAGGGAGAATAATTCACTGGCTAAAGGATGGATACATGTTAACTGGGGTGATGGGGAAGGCAATATACAAGAGGGCAGTTGGCATAAGGATGATGGAAGGGTAAAGACACAGGTATGCAAGGCCTATAGGGGATAGAGGTAAATAGTGATATATACACAACCTCGTAACAATGTTCTGTGGGTAGACACATGTACAGACTGGATGAAAATGAAATATATTCCACAAATATGTAGCAGTTTGAAAGAGAATATTGGTACGTGGTTGTTGACCTTTCCTGTAAGCACAACTATGAATATGGTGGCGCATATTCATATCTAAGAAAACTTTAGATCCTACCAAACATCTTAAGGCAATGAGTTGCTGGGCCTGGGGGTTCAGAGCCATAGTCTCAAAGGACACCATAGTCAACTGGCATAACATAGTCCACAAACACAATGTTCGGCATCCTACTTTGGTGAACAGAGTCTGGGATTTAAAAACTCATGAGTAGCAGTCTCAGTGCAGCTATTGGTCTCTCCATGTACAAAATAAAGAGTGATGAGAACTGAAGAGGCCTAGAACCAATCAGAGTTCAAGGGACTAAAGAACCTGTAAACATCAGTCTCCACAACAGACCAGAAGAACTAGATGATGGCCAGCTCCTACTACCAACTGCTCTAACGTTACAGGGTCCTGGACAGAGTGGGAAAATATGTGGAACAAAACTCAAAATTATTAGAAAATTATTTTGACTGAGAATGAGACTGGAGGAATCTGAGACCACGGCATTCAAAATCACCTTTCAGATCTAGAAAGGAAACTCACCCTCATGGCCAAGCAGTTGATAGGCACAGGAGAGAAAACACTATTAAGGTCTGTCTGGTGGTGGTGGTCGGTTCTGAACTCAGAGCAACCCTAGATTTCCCAAAGCTGTAAATCTTTATGGGAGCAGAAAGCTGAGGCTTTCTGCTCAGTAACTGGTAAATTCCAACTACCGACCTTCTAGTTAGCAACCCAGCTCGTAATCTACTACACTACCAGCACTCCTAGTCAGGTATGTTCACCACAGAATGGCCAACCATTAAATCAAAAGAGTAACATTTCCCTAAGGACAAAGGTGAGAAGGGCTGGGAAGGTGGGTGGAAAGGAAATAGGACCCACAGAGAGGAAGCCGGCTAACTGTTGAAGGGAGGGGACTGCAATCATTGAGATGAAACAGAGAATGCTTTAATGCAAAGCTGATGATCTTGTCTGTAAACCTTCACTCAATTCACAATAAAAAGGAAAAAAAGTTCAAGATAGTGCTCTTCCCACCCTCAGAACCCTCCATTCACGTGGTGGTGGTTGTGTGTTATTAACATTGGTCCCAACTCAAAGCAACCCTGTTTCCGAGGCTGTAAATCTTTACAGGAGCAGAAAGTCGCTTCTTTTGCCTGTGGAGCAGTGGGAGATTCAAACTGCTGACCTTAGTTAGCAGCCCAACTCATAACGCACTACACTACCAGAGCTCCCACTCACATATTGGTGTTACTAAGTGCTATCGGGTCACTTCCAACTCACAGCAACCCTGTGTATAGGGTTTTGGAGGAGCAACTGGTGAATTTAAACTGTCAACCTTGTGGTTCAAACTAACCTTGTAGTCCAGTGCTTATCCTACAGCACCATAACAGTTAGGTTCTGTAAAAGCCCAGTGAAGTGTTTTTAGTCCATGCTCATAAAGTGCCTTTTGAAAGTCCTATCTAAACCACAAAATTGCTCATAATGTGAGACCTTGTGGATTTCATAATCTTAAAATGTAGGCTCTTTGAAAAGCCAGATTGAGGGGTTAACTTGGTACGTGGGTGTTACCTGTCATTGAAGAACAGCAAAGAAATACAGGCATCCCCTACTTTTTGAAAGTTTGATTTATGAAAAAAATTACATTTGTAAGTTTCTGTTTTTACTAATGAAAGAGAAATCTGAAGAGGATTTTCTATTTTAAGAAAAAAAGGCAGAAAGCAAAACTAACATTCAGAGTTGGTTTTGCAGCACACCCAAGCAAAATCCTGTGGTGTAGCCAAGCTCCTTTCTTCCCAGAACTACAATCAACATCTCAGCACAAAGACCCCAGAGCCTTGGGACTGATTGTGAGGGTTGGAGATGTAAAGGTAGACATTTTGTAGCAAGGAGAGGAGTGATTAACTTTGCAGTCTAGGAGCAGAGGTCCCTGGGAACATCAAGGAAGAAGAGCGGAGAGCAGGACCCTACCCAGAGAAGCAGTGATGCCCGAGATGGAGGCAGAGACGATGATGTGGAGAGATGGAGCAGCTAGGAACTTTGGACCCAGAGAAGGAGAGAGGAGAGGGGCTGTGTGCTGACCACCCGGGCGGAGGGTGGCCAGCAGTGCATATTTGTAGGGCATATATACCCTTTGGTTGGTTGGTGACGCATGGAGGGGACTGTAACCATGGCAATGAAGCAATATATGAAAAAGACCCCAGAACTTTGGACATTACCGGGGTTTAAAACTTCCATTAGCTTTTAATTCCACTTTTCCTCAAACTTTCTGAAGCACCCCTCCTGTATGTTAGTGTTATTGTAGATTATTTGGTATGATATGGTAGCTTACTTTTTTATTCTTGGCCGGATCAAACTTTATCCCATATAAATTCTTTGCTTTATGCATGCTATTTTGGCTTAATAAAGGTTTCACAAAATGCTCCTCTCTCAGTTGAGAGCCAAGCTCCTCTCATCTACTCCCAGTACCCTTTTTAACAGATTTCAAATATTAGTTGAGAGCATTCATCTCTCCACTGTTGAGCCTGGTTACAATTTCAGTACAGACCCGTGCCCCAAATGTAATGTGGTAAATATACTTTACTACCCTATGCCAAAAAGGGGCGCTGGTAGTGTTGTGGTTATGAATCAGGCTGCGAAGCTCTAGGTCAGCAGATCGAAACTACCAGCTGTTCGGCGGGAGAAAGATGAGGCTTTCTGCTCCCGTAAAGATTTGCAGCCTTGGAAACGCTGTGCAGGGTCACTATGAGTCGGAACCAACTCCAAGGTACTTAACAACCACAACCACCCTATGCCAAAAGGAGCTCTGGTAGCACAGTGCTTACGAATCAGGCTGCGAACTGCAAGGTTAGGAATTTGAAACTACCAGCTGGTGTGCGGGCGAAAGATGAAGCTTTCTGCTCCCGTGAAGATTTACAGCCTCGGAAACCCTGTACCGGGTCGCTATGAGTCAGTTCCGACTCGAGGGCACCACCCTATGCCAATGGCATTGTGTAGAGAAAGGGCAGAACGAGGGCCACCCTACCTAGATCCTCAATCATCTGGAAGATTCAATAAAGTCCTGATGTGAGCCACGTGGGCCTGGGGAAGGGGCCTGGTCGGTCTTCACTCTGGGAAGGTAGCACGGCTCGGGACGGGACGGAAGTCAAGTTACCTCTTAACCTTCCCAAGGGCGTCTGTCACCGGCCAAGCATAGGCAGCCCTGCCCTAGCGGGCCTAGATGCCCTGGGCGGAGGGGGGGGAGGGGACACGGGGAGAAGGGATTCCCGCGGGGGCAAATTAGCAAAGGGAACTCCGGCTGAGAAAGGGAACGCGAACCAGCCACTTCCGCGTGGATAAAACACCCGAGACACGGATGCTGCTCGGAACTGGATACCTTCATGAATTTCATGGCCACAAGACGGAATCCCTTCTGTTCAAAGCGCTTGATGATGTCGCCCACCAGGCCACGCTGCACGCCGTCCGGCTTGATGGCAATGAAGGTGCGCTCCGTGTTGGCCATGGTCCTGCAAGGCAAAGGTTTGGTCAGGGCCCGGCGGCAGTTCCCATGCCGGAGAGGCCACGTGGGCGCGCGCGCGCCCGTCCGCCCGCATTCCCATCTGGCCGCGCGCCTGCCCCTCGGCCCGCCGCCCAAGGACACGTGGCTCCCGGACCGCTTCCGCCCCACCAGGCCCGGAGGCCGCCACCCCAGCGGACCCGGAGAGGCGCGGAGGAGACACGGCGGGGGTCCCGGCAGAGTGCAGAGCCGGAAGGGGTACCCTGGATCGGACATAGCACCGAAGCCTGCGAGGGAGGACGCCAGCAGACAGGGTCCGCCCTACGCAGCCCTGGAGGGCGAGGGATTGGGGAGTCAGAAGGGGAAAGCACCCCAGCTGTCTTACCCGGGAGCTGGCAGGGGAGCGGCGGACGCGTGTGCTGCTGGCAGAGTAGAGATGTGCAGCGACCCCCGGAATCGGCAGCAGTGCGCAGAGGAGGGGCGCGGGGCGGAGCGCCGAGCGGCCACACCCCGGAGGACCCAGCCGCCCAACCCGCGGGGGCCGGACGTGGTCGTAGGACACTGCCCTCATCTGCTGCCTTCCTGGTATTCACCTTCGGTTCTCTGGGATCCAGAACCAGGAAGTGATTTGTTCGCCACCTGGGTGCCGCACATCCCAAATCCACATTCTCATGTCTGTCAACCTCACGTGTCCGCTACACACACATATGAAAGCCTTCTCCTGGGTTTGAGCTCTTTACCTTAGTCAGTACCACCTGTTCCCACTGACCACCCGGACACACAGGGTTAAAGCTTGATTCTAGGTCACTTTTGTCCCACCCACAAAGATCTTAACCACCTACCTCAGAAATCCAGCCTCCCTTTCCATTTCCTCTGCTTGAACCAGGATCCAAGTCCTCAGCCTCTCCATTAAAGTAAAAGGCCTGATCAACTCCTCTTCCCACTTGGCGCCTCCCCTGGGTACCTCAAACACCCACCTGACCCTGGCTCTCCCATTTAGGTGACTGCCCACTGAGTACAGGCTGCTTTGCACAGTATGCTTTGTACTCCCCCTGTACAATCTCCACACAATTCTGTGGTCAGATTATCCAAGTCAACCCAAGATACACTTACCTCTGCCACAGGGTACCTCCAGCCTCCTAGGCATCTAAGTCAGTCATCTATTTGCAGACAATTCCCAGTTCCTCTCTGCCTGGCAAAGCCCTGACCACCTTTAGGACCAAGCAGTTTAGGTATAAGGAGCCCTGGTGGCACAGCGGTTAAGCAAGATGAGCTTCTAACCAAAGGTTTGTGGTTTGAACCCACCCAGAGGTTCACTGAGATAAAGGACTGGTACAGATTACAGCCTAGGAGAAGGCTGATGGTTGAAGTGCTACTCTTGTCATATAGGGTCAATGTGAGTCAAAATTGACTCAATGGTACACAATTCAGGGTGGCATCCTCTATAAAGACTTGCCTAGCTTCCCTCCCTCAGCATACCCAGCCTTGTTTTCTGCTTTACCCTCTTGTGTCTGCCCAATCAACATGGAGCTAGCCACAGGATTGACCTTCCATCTCGTCACCTGCATGTTCCTAGCATTACCCTAATGCCCTGTTACTGATGGATGGAATGAGAGGTCAGGCCTCTAGTACACGCATTGGCTTTCCAAAGTCTAGCTGCAGGGGCGGTAAGCAACAGTGCATTCAAAATGACCATCATTCGCTCTCCTTCTGGACACAGATACCCAGCGTTTCTTTTGGCCTCAGCCTGAAGCACTCTCATTTGGGTTCCTTTTCAAATGTCAGCAGTGCTCCTGGGGCAGGTCACTAAAACTTACTGAGTGGCAGTGAGAGCTCTCTGTCATCGCCTCTTTCCTTCCTGTTTGGTGTGGAGTCCATTCTGACTCAGTGACCCTGTGTACAACAGAAACACTGCCTGGTCCAGTCCCATTCTCACTATCGACTCACTTTCCTTCCCAGAAAAACATTAACTAGGTTACAAGTTATCCTATCTCACTGCACACCTCTTCACTTTTGACAGAACACACTAATCACACTGTGTGGAACAGAAATGTGTCTAGCCCTTTATCCCATTGCCATCAAGTCGGTTCTCACTCAGAGACCCTGTATAGGGTTTCTGAGGCTGTAAATCTTTATAGATGCAGAAACCCTCGACTTTCTCCCATGAACAGCTGGTGGGTTTGAACTGCCAACCTTGCAGTTAACAGTCCAGTGCTTATCTAGCAGGGCTCCTTATCTAGCCCTTAGCTGCCCCCCAAAAGGTAACCCCATCCCAATTCTCCCTTCCTGAAAAGTTTCTCCCCTCTATTGCCTCTAAACAAAACAACACAAAACAAAAGCCCATTGCTGTGGATTCCTATAGTAACTCTCCCGGACAGGGTAGACCCGCCCTGTAAGATTTCCAAGGCCATAAACGCTCACAGAAACAGACTGCTACATCCTTCTCCCTCAAAGTAGCTGGTGGGTTTGAACTGCTGACCTTTTAGTTAGCAGCCAAGTACTCTACTACCACCAGGGCTCTACTGACTCTACCCAGCTCCCAAACTAGGTCACCAGGGAAATGCTAAACTTGTGCCAGAGATACTGTGCCCAACAGCTTTTTTTTTCTTCCTCCTCTTGGCAGAACTGAGGACAAAACTGCCCAACTAAAGATAACCCTTCCAGTTTCTTTTGGGTAGGTACAACCATGTGACCAAGTTCTGATGACTGGGATGTAAGAGAAATGATGGACGTAAAGTGAGGTATTGTTTCTTAAAAGGAAGACCTCGTCCACTTCCCTTCCCAACTTGCTAGAAGGTAGTAATCCACCTTGGACTGGTTAGAAGGAACCTAGGTCCTTGGACAACCTCTAAGATCAGAGTCTTACCACCCCCACCCCTCCCTACCAGCTGGGCCTTTTAAATAAGAAGTGCATTCCTATCTTATCTCAGTTAAAGCAGCCAAACAGGCACCCTAATAAACCAAAGCTACTGAGATTTTTTCTGCTTCTTTTGAGACTGTTCCAGGGACCTAAGTCTACTGTCCAAAGAGCTTTTCTGATTTTCGCTGTAATTACAATTTCTCACAGTCCCCATGCACTTGAGTGCCTGGGAGCTTCTTGTGAACAGAATTTTCTATTTCTTCAGAATCTTAACAAACTAGACAACGCTGCTGAATAGATGCCTATTGGGTGGCTCAGTGCCAAGTGTGAATGGGATTGGAGTGGGGAAAGGGGGACATAAAATGTGGAACACAGTATGTTCACTAACAATTTTTTATTTATACTCAGGTGATCTGGAGTACATGAAAATGGACAAAAAAAAAAAACCCACAACCACACAAAATAACCAACTCAGTGAATCAGTGAATTGGGCTGAAACATTTTAATCTGATGGAAGCACATAACACTGTACAAGGAGGTCTCAAGTTTCCCTGCAGATTATAAGAAAAAGTCCCCAGAAATCACTAGGTTAGCTAGTCGCCTGCCTTTGGAAGAGAAGGGAGGCGAAGTGGGAAAGCTCTGTGGTCTGCCTTCCTGTCACTCGTAGATCCAGTCCTGAGCAGAGCTCTTGTAATTTACTAGTTCCTCAGGGTGAAACCACAAGCCAATCTCCTTCTCCGCACTCTCCACAGAATCACTGCCATGGATAATATTCCTGGATGGGGAAAGAGATGGTGCCATTATCAACAGCTTTATGATGAAATCGCCCAGAGCGCACACCACCCCCACCACAATCCAGCAAAAAGCCAAAGCTCCATGTACATTTAAAAACAAGCCAGTTGTCCTGGAGTCTGTGGCTCAACGTGGCCCCACTGTGTGGCACAGAGGAGAACTGTGCTTGCTCCACTGGGTTTTCACGGACTGATTTTTCAGAAGTAGATCACCCAAAGAGAATGGAAGAAATCAAAGGAGCAAAGAAAAAACAAATCCACAGATATGAACCACAGCCTCTTCTATCCTTAGACCAGAAGAACTAGATGGGACCTAACAACCACTACTGACCACTCGAACCAGAGACACACAGAGGTCCTGGTAGAAAGGAAGAAAAACATACAATAAAACTCAAATTCCTAAAAAAAGCCAGACTTACTCCTACTGCACTAAAGACTAGAGCAACCCCCAAGATCGTAGCCCTAAGATAGCCTTTGAATTGGAACTGAAGCTACAGCTGCAAGTGACCTTCCAGTCAAATATTAGATTGGCTGTAAAATAAACATTAACATCAATGAATAATGAGTTCCCTTAACAATTAGCTATATGAGACCACATGGTCAACAGTTACCCAGAAGCACAGATGAGAAGGCAAGGAGAACAAGGGAAGCTAGATCAAGGAAACAGAACAAACAGAAATGAAAATAAATCATGAGAATGCTGACACATTGTAAAATTTACAAGCAATGGCACAAAAAAAATCTGTATAAAAACTGTTAAAGGGGAACTTGATGTGCTATGTAAACTGTCAGTTAAAACACAATTATTATTATTTTTCTTTTCAAAATTGACCTGCATATTGTTTCAAGTCCATCCCTAGACTCAAAAACCCAAATTCTGGCAACTAACTTGGATTTTGGAGAAGGATAATAAACGCCAAATCTCACCTGCCAACTTGAATACAAAAGTCCCCACGGATGGTCCCAGGCTTGGAGTCCGCAGGATTGGTCTCCCCAAGCATCACTCGGCCAGTCTTTACCACATTCAGCCCCTCCCAGACCTCCAAGGACAAAAGACAATAGGGTCAAGGAAGACAGCCAGTCTCAGCCCCAAACCCGGCAACTCCTAATTCAAAACAAGAACAAGCCTGCTCATCATAGCATTCATTCACTAAACAAATACTTTATGGAGCACTGACTTGTTCCAGCACTGGGAATACTTGTCTCGTTGTCCTTATTCTTGCCATTCTACAGCCCATTCTTGACACAGAAGCCAGAGTGACCTTTTCAGAGTTCAATGTAAAAGCTCCCAGAGCTTCTCAGCATCACTAAGATCTGTGACCCATTATCCTAGATCTACCCTCACCTCTGATCTCCTACCTTCCTACTGTCTCTCTTTCTCACCAGGCTTCAACCATTCTGACCTTCTTCTATAGCTTAAAAAGTAAAACTCATCCCTACCTCAGAGCCTTTGCATACAATGTTCCTTGGTCAGAAACGGTCCCTGCTGTGATTTTGTGTTGGCTGGCTCCTCATCATTCAGATCTTAGACTCAACAAGTCCTTCTTACGGAGCCTTTGTCATTGTCCAATCTAAAGTAATCACTAGCTACCACATTGTCCTATTTCAATTCTGTGTATCACTAACCATGGCCTGATATACAGACTTTTAAATTTACTTATGATCTGCTCCTCACTACCACACACTCATTGCCCCCAAACAAATGTTGGCAATGAAAGCAAGATGCCTATTTTGTCTCATTCATGTCTGTATCCTCAGTGTCCAGAAGAGAGCCTGGCACAAGGGTGACAGCCAGAACATACTTGATGAAGAATTACTGCAATCAACAGGAGGCAACCTTCCTGCCCTCTAGGAGGTTCCAATCAGGCAGGCCTCTCCTGAG